TCGCCAACCGGCTGTAACTCGGCGACTTCATTCGTCGCTGTCGCTTCTCCAATCAGCTGTAACTCGGCGGGTTCATTCGTCGCTGTCGTCGCTTCGCCAACCGAAAGTAACTCGGCGGGTTCATTCCTCGCTGTCGCTTCGCCAACCGGCTGTAACTCGACGAATCTACTCGTCGCCGTCGCAGAGGTGATCCGTTGTACCACCAGCTGGGATGTAGTCGTCCGATCATACCTAAGAACGAAGACGTCTAAAATGAGGAAGACGAGGACGGCTAATTGGAGCAGGAAGAGGAACCAGGACACGCGCCATGACGTCAGCAATTGCGCCGGCTCGACGTACGTTTGACCCTCGGAGCCCATCACTAGGTAGAAAAACCTTGAAGGACTTAAGACGTCTCAAATGCCAATGAAGGTTCGCAAAGGCGCCTCAAATGCCAATGAAGGGGCCGAGGTTTGTTGCATCGTTCGCGAATAATACTGTCGTAAAGTTCGAGGCGCCTCAAAAAGCATCGGCGCGTAAAGTTGCTGAACGGTCTTATCGCACACGAGTATCGGGACCGATCTTGCAGAGGATGTCTTGCAATGGTAGTAATAGTAATAGTACACTATGGCAGTATCAGAGCCGCCGGTTGAGAATCGTTTGGGAAGAGGGACGAAACTCTCGGTAGCGAGCGAGCAGCCATTAAATGGAGCGCGCGGGTGAACGTCGGGCTTCGCTGGTCCTTCCTGGACTCCTCATGAGTCCTGAGCCATTGGGCCCTTCGGTATCGTATCGACATGGATGGATGCTCGCTGGTCAACTGACCGCGAGCAGAATGAAATCTGAAGTCCTATTGGGGGATGGGATAAAACGTGCCGTGACCGTGTATTCGGTGGATCTCTCCCAAGGCGCGTGCCATCGGAATGGGGGAAGCCGACGGAACGACCGGTGGTTTTGACGACTTGACTAACGGCCCGAGACGCCATGATACTGTACTGTGCTAGGTCACTGGGCTAGTTCGCTGATACTTCTGTTGTGACTGGGTCACTTCACTAGGCTGGTTCGCTGTGTGATGAGCCAGCCGAGGGAAAGGAGGGAACAAATGAATGGTGCCCTGTTTGCTGGGCATGGCTGCTGCCACCGTATCTCACCACGCAAGAAGTTTTTTAAACCGACTCAGAACGCATCCCACCGCGTTTTTACCTGTGCCGGCCGGCACGATTGTTCGTGCTGTCACTTGCACCACCTCACCCAAATCCCAATGGTGCGGTATAGGTTAACGCGATGATATCTTTGCAGAAAGTAATTTGTTCGAATACATAGATCAATATAACGATGAATTACCTTGATCACTACAAGACATCAAATGCCTATATTTGTAATAATGGCACCATGAAATAGCCATTCCCAGTATTCATTTCGGCTATCAAGTTAGATTAATCATGTTCTTAGGTTGTGGGCTTCTGCAAACACAAGTCGTGCAACTTTAAATGGGGAGGAAAGCTCATGGACAAGCTGCTTCGTCAATGCACGCATCCTGACCAGCGAAATTTACACGCCTTTCTGCCTGAACAAGTGCAATCTCATGTCAGGTACTACGTTATGTTGTTTCTTCCATACTCTGAATCATGCGCCTGCATCTACGTCTGGGTCGGGCCGGTGAGAGCTGAAATTTCTGCACGCAGGGAGTGGACGATTTCTGCTGTGCTGGAAGTCGCTGCTGCCACCGCAACCCACCACGCCTTCACCTGCGGCGTGGCTGTCCCTGTAACTGTGACTGGGCCGGGGCAGTCAGTGCTGAGATCTCGGAGCGGACAGACTGAATGCTTTCCTCCGTGCTGGCAGTCGCTGCTGCCACCGCACCCCACCACGCCTTCACCTGCGGCGTGGCTGTGCCGGCTGTCACAGTGGCTGCCTCATGAAGAGATGGTGCTGTTGCCTGCACCACCTGCAGCCCTGCCAGGATCTGTGTGTCCGTGTGTGTGTGTATTGGGGAAAGAAGGGGAAGGAGGGGAAGAAGAATGGGTGTTTTGCATATGGGTGTGCGTGTGGGGTGTGGGTGTGCGTGGGTGGAGTGGGTGTTGGGGGGGGGGGGGGGAGGGGAGGGTGCATGGGTGTGGGTGTGTGGGTGTGTGGGTGGGAGTGTGGGTGTATGTATGTGTGTGGGTGTGAGTGGGTAAGAGGGACGAGGGCGAGAAGGAGGTTGATGAGAATTCAGTCTATCAGCTGTGATGGGGCCAGGATGTGCGGAAGAATGCAGGATGACTTTGGGAATTCTCAGAATCAACCTGCATATGAATGGCGCAGGCAGCCAGGCCAACCCACACGATCACCACGGAGTGAGTGAGTGAGTGTGGGGGTGAGTGAGTGAGAAGAGAGCGGAGTGAGTGAGCAAGTGAATGAGCGAATGAGCGAATGAGCGAATGAGTGAGGGAGTGAGTGAGGGGGTCACTGGGGGGTTAACCTTGAGAAGAGCGGAGTGCTGTGAGTGCACAGCGGAGGCTCGAGGGCCGATCTTGATGGGGCGAGGAGGGGGGTTGCGCTGCATCCAGGGGAGTAGGTCCTGAGAGGGAGGGGAAGGAGGGGAGGGGGGGTGGCACAGGGGGGTGGGGAAGCGGAGGGCACACGAGAGCCTGACAGTGGGTCAAGGACCTGCGGAAATGAAGGGGGCATGGGTCGCTTTTGAGAATTCTCAAACGGGTGTCATGGGAGGCATAGGGGCCAAGAGTAGCAGAAGAAGAGATGGGATGGGAGGGGCTGTGACAGCGCGTCTTACATGAGGGAAAGGCAGTGTAAGGAAAACGAGGGTCCGGAGCGCAGCACTGGACGAACGGTGAGCAAGAGTTCGGAGCTAATTTCAGAACCATTACCCGCTTGCACTAAAAACTCCAGACATCTAAGATGGCCCGCAAGTGCGAGCTAGGTAGTCTGGTATGGTTATGTGAGTCTGTCTGTGATTATCTGCTCCACACACTAACCCAGGACGACCATACCCAATTACTGAGGCGCCTAAAGAAAAGCGCAGGTGTGTGAGGTAGTTTTGTTACAATATTCTAAGTGGATTCACTCCACACACCAATCCAGGACGCCTAACAAATCCGCAGGTGTGAGGTAGTTTTGCTAAAGGATGACCATGCAAAATTCCATTGCCATTCGATTCGCTCCACACACCAATCAAGGATGACCAAGCCACTTAACCTGCCCACTTGATTTGCAATCTTGGCAGAGTGCCAGGAGAGTGCTAGAGCTGGACTGACACCCTTGGAGCTATCCACTCACCCTGTCCACTTTATAAGCGACCTCGTTAGCAAGAGAGAGGTAGCGCTGCACAGCAGCGGTCAGATTGGCGTCAGCAGCTGCTGTGTGCTGCTGGCTCTGGTCGCGCAGAGGGTCCACCACACACTGATGGGGGGAGAGGGAAGAAGGAGAGGGGAGGTGGAGGGGGGAGGAGGAAGGAAGCAAGGCAATCTCGTCAGCAGCTGCTGTGTGCTGCTTGCTCTGGTCGCGCAGAGGGCCCACCATGCACTGATGGGGGAAGAAGGGAGGGGGAGGGGGAGGAGGAAGGGAAGGCAGAAAGGAAACCTTGTCAGCAGCTGCAGTGTGCTGCCTGCTCTGGTCGCGCAGAGGGCCCACCACACACTGATGGAGGGGGGGGGGAGGGAGGGTGAGGAGGAGTAAGGAAAGGTAGCAAGGCAGCAAGTCAGCAAGACAGCAAGGCAGCAAGGAAATCTCATCAGCAGCTACCGTGGGGTGGCGGCCCTGGTCATGCAGAGGGTCCACGATGCAGTGATGAGGCTGTGGGGAAGGCAAACATGATATGTGAAGGTTTTAAGCTTCAAGACAGCAACTTGATGGGAAGACGAGGTGACAGAACAATCTCGGGGTACCAAAGCTTTGGTGATTTGAGTCGAATGGATGGAGAATCGAGAATCCATGAGTGGACCCGTTCTTAAGGCGAATCCAATTGAATGGACAGACGGGCGGTCCTAGTGAGATGCTCCGCTGCTTTCTTCCACGTTTATCTCAGTATTGGTGAGATGCTGGGAACCAGTATTGGTGGATATAATCCGAATAAAGTCAAAAGCCAAGGCAGCCTCCTCAGGCCCACCTGGGCGGCCAGGCCAGCAGAATGGTCTTGTCCCATGATCCATCTGATACCCCCTATTCTGTGCTTTGAATACGAGTTGTCATATGTAATCTTAATGAAGGCCAATAGCCAATCGCCATGTCATCTTCCCACCACCTGGGCTGCAAGCACGATGGCCTGGTCATGCCCCACTCCATTTCCCATTCTTACACGTATGCTGTTTGATAAATCATAACCCTTTTAGTTGCAGGCAGCAGCCATGCCACCTGCCTACAGCCCACCTGCGCGGCCGGCCGGCAGCAGTATGGTGCTGTCGTGGATCTGTTGCTTGCATGCCTTCACTTCACCATGCATTCTTGGACACACTCCCGTTACAACTCAAAGTATCTGCTGCTTCCTCTCCCGCGCCTCACCTGAGCGGCCAGACAGCAGGATGGTGTCGTTGTGGAATCTTGGATCTGCTGCTGCATGCCTTGCCCACGATTTGCCAGATACAATCGTGAAATCACAAGGCAACAGCCCTGCCTGCCTCCTCGCCTCACCTGCGCAGCCAGCAGGATGGTGTCATCATGGATCTGCTGCTTCCTCTCCCTCACTTGACCACGTGTTGTTGGGTGGAATGTCATCACAAGGCAACAGCCCTGCCTGCCACCTTTCCACCCAACGCCACCCTCCCGTGTCTAACCTGAGCGGCCAGCAGGATGGTGTCATCGTGGATCTGCTGCTTCCTCTCCCGCAGCTCCACCAGCCGCTGCCGCGCCTCCTCTATGCCGCTCATGTTGGCCCTGTTGTCCCTGCGCCTGCTGGGTGGCATCGGGGAAGCAGGGGGGAATGGGGGAAGCGGGGGGGTTGCATTTAGCCTCAAAAGCAGCTCCACCAGCCGCTGCCGCGCCTCCTCTATGCAGTTCATATTGGCCCTGTTGTCCCTGCGCCTGCTGGGTGGCATGGGGGAAGCAGGGGGGTTTGCATTGCATTTCTCAGTCAGCTCATATATCCCCCGCAGCTCCATCGGCCGCTGCCCCACCTCCTCTATGCCTTCCCCCCTGCTGTCGCTGTGCACCATGGGGGGGGGCTTATAAAGGCAGCATAGGGGAAGGAGGGTGTGCATTCTTTATGCGCCTCAAAAGCAGCTCCACCAGGCGCTGCCCCGCCTCCTCTATGCCGCTCATGTTGACCCTCTTGTCCCTGCGCCTGCTGGGCGGCATGGGCCCATGGGGGAAGCAGGGGGGTTTGCATCTTCTCAGTCAGCTCATCTCTATGCTGCCCCCCCCCCCCCTGCTGCCGCTGTGCATCATGGGGGGGGGGCAGAGGGGTTTGTTTCAGCGGCGACATAGGGGAAGGAGGGGTGTGCATTCTTTATGCGCCTCAAAAGCAGCTCCACCAGCCGCTGCCCCGCCTCCTCTATGCCATCCCCCCTGCTGTCCCCGCTGCTGCTGCTGCTGCTGCAGCTGGCGGCATGGGGAAAGCAGGAGGTGCGGGAGGGACGCACAGCAGGCCTTGAGTTGCTTGAGCGAAGAGAGTAAGGGGGAGTGGGAAGGGAGAAAAGTGAAGAGCAGAGATAAAAGAGTGCAGATACAGATGGAAGAATAGGCATGCATACACTTCAGCCGCTAATAGCATACGGTAACTCTCTCAGACGTCTTGGGAACAGAGCATACCTCTCAGCTCTCACCACCTCTCACCACCTCTCACCACCGACTCGCACCTGGCAGCAGCATCAGCTTTGGCGCGGGTGAGCAAGTCGGGCGAGAAGAGGGGCGGGAAGGACGAGGGTTGCAGCAAAGCAGCTGCTGACGGTGGTGCATACGAGCCCAATGCGAGCTGGTCCTCTGGCCTGGGATGGGAGAAGGGAGATGGGAAGGGTTGAGGGAATGGGAGACGGAAGACGGAAGAGCACAGGCAGCAGCAATGCAGCTGCTGATGGCGGTGCATATGAGGCCAATGCGAGCTGGTCCTCTGACCTGGGAATGGGGGATGGGGAATGTGAAATGGGTAGGGTTGAGGGAATGGAAGATGGGAATTGGAGGAGTATCGGGTGTAGTGTCGCAGGGAAGCTGCTGGGGGCGGTGCATTGCATACGAGCCCAATGCGAGCTGGTCCTCTGGTTTGAGAGGGGATGGGGGAGATGTTGTAATGGAGGGGCATGGAGGAGCTGGAGGAGCATGGAGGAGCATGGAGGAGCGCATGGGAATAATACAGCAGCAGCCGCTGATGGCGGCGTTTAAGAGTCCAAAAACAGCTGATCCACCGGCCATGCAGGGTTGTACGTGGGGGATGAGGAGACGAGACTGGGGTGTGTGGAATGGAGCATGGGAGTGAGAATGTGGAATGGGGAATGGGAAAGGGAAAGGGAGTGCACGCGGGCAGAGGCAGCCACTGGTGATGGCATGCGTTGTATGCGTCCAGAGAGAACAGAAGAATCGCCCTGATGATACCAATGGGGATTGTTTATGTGGCGCTTGCCACACCCAATGCACCAGGACAAACCTGCTCCGTACCCTCGCCCACAGTCATACCTGCTCCTTAGCCTCCCCATATCCATACCTGCTCCTTAGCCTCCCCATGTCCTCCACCCGGCGAGCCACTTCCAGCAGCCATGTGGCTCGCTCTGGCACCCCGCCCACTCCCTGGGGACCACATGGGGAGGGAGTTGCATAAGGAGGGTGCATGGATATGGAGCAGGAGAGCATAACACATTGAGCATGCTGTGGGGGGGTGGACGGATGGGGCATGCATAGTGCAAAGGGCATCGGGCACAAATCACAATGTGACGCATGGTGTGTGGTCCCTATTGCATGGAGTTATCTAGTTTTGAGACGTCTCAAGTCACGATGTGACGCATGGTGTGTGGTGTGGTCTCTATTGCATGGGGTTACGGCGCCACACAAGCATGCAATATGAGTGAATTTTTGAGACGTCTAAAAGCATCACTCATATCACGTCCCTACTGCATAAGGTTACGGCGCCACACAAGAATGCCGGGGGAGCCCAACTGCAGACTCGTCTCATCCTACTGTGCTGGCGTCCACCTCATCACACATGTGCTATGCGGCAGGCAGTAGGGGAAGCAGCAAGGGCGAGAGAGCAGAACGAACGAACGAACGAGGGGGAAACGGCCATGCCAAGAGATCTCAGCGACTCATCTCAGGCCAATCTCATTAGTATCAGCGACTAAACTTCAAGCAGCCGAACGAACTCACGGTAGCAGCGTCCCGCCCATCGCCTTGAGCCATGCCCAACAGCACTGCCGTGTGACACACGCCTGATGGGGATGGGGATGTGCATGAAGTTGGGAGGGAGGGGTGGGTGGCAGGGATGGGAATGTGCCAGACAGATGGGTGGGCGGGTGGGAGCATGCTGGGTGTGATGCGATGGCGACCAGACAGCGGCTGCGATGACAAGGCTGATGGGTGGGATGCATGCACTGAAGGCGAAAGGACGAGAAGAGAGAAGCGGATGTACTTTAAAGAAGAGAAAAAGCGGGTTTACGTGACAGGAAAACGCGAAGGGATAGAGTGCAGCAGGAGCAGACGGATGAGTGGGATTCACATCCCCCATCCCACGGAGCAAGGAAAGAGTAGATTCGACCCAGATCACATCCCCCAATCCCACGGAGCAAGGAAAGAGTAGATTCGACCCAGATCACATCCCCCAATCCCACGGAGCAAGGAAAGAGTAGATTCGACCCAGATCACATCCCCCAATCCCACGGAGCAAGGAAAGAGTAGATTCGACCCAGATCACATCCCCCAATCCCACGGAGCAAGGAAAGAGTAGATTCGACCCAGATCACATCCCCCAATCCCACGGAGCAAGGAAAGAGTAGATTCGACCCAGATCACATCCCCCAATCCCACGGAGCAAGGAAAGAGTAGATTCGACCCAGATCACATCCCCCAATCCCACGGAGCAAGGAAAGAGTAGATTCGACCCAGATCACATCCCCCAATCCCACGGAGCAAGGAAAGAGTAGATTCGACCCAGATCACATCCCCCAATCCCACGGAGCAAGGAAAGAGTAGATTCGACCCAGATCACATCCCCCAATCCCACGGAGCAAGGAAAGAGTAGATTCGACCCAGATCACATCTCCCAATCCCACGGAGCAAGGAAAGAGTAGATTCGACCCAGATCACATCCCCCAATCCCACGGAGCAAGGAAAGAGTAGATTCGACCCAGATCACATCCCCCAATCCCACGGAGCAAGGAAAGAGTAGATTCGACCCAGATCACATCCCCCAATCCCACGGAGCAAGGAAAGAGTAGATTCGACCCAGATCACATCCCCCAATCCCACGGAGCAAGGAAAGAGTAGATTCGACCCAGATCACATCCCCCAATCCCACGGAGCAAGGAAAGAGTAGATTCGACCCAGATCACATCCCCCAATCCCACGGAGCAAGGAAAGAGTAGATTCGACCCAGATCACATCCCCCAATCCCACGGAGCAAGGAAAGAGTAGATTCGACCCAGATCACATCCCCCAATCCCACGGAGCAAGGAAAGAGTAGATTCGACCCAGATCACATCCCCCAATCCCACGGAGCAAGGAAAGAGTAGATTCGACCCAGATCACATCCCCCAATCCCACGGAGCAAGGAAAGAGTAGATTCGACCCAGATCACATCCCCCAATCCCACGGAGCAAGGAAAGAGTAGATTCGACCCAGATCACATCCTCCAATCCCACGGAGCAAGGAAAGAGTAGATTCGACCCAGATCACATCCCCCAATCCAACGGAGCAAGGAAAGAGTAGATTCGACCCAGATCACATCCCCCAATCCCACGGAGCAAGGAAAGAGTAGATTCGACCCAGATCACATCTCCCAATCCCACGGAGCAAGTAATCAAACACACTGTTTCGCCTCTTCAGTCCTTGTCATTCAGTAAAACAGGGAGAGCGCTCGCTTGCATGGGCATGGCTTACGGCTCTCCACGGTGTCAATCATTTCAGCCGGCGCTGCACCCCTGTCTCGATTCGTGTGCATGGAGCCTAGAATCCTGTTGCCCACATGCACACACATGCACACACACATGCACACACACACATGCACACACACACATGCACACACACACATGCACACACACACATGCACACACACACATGCACACACACACATGCACACACACACATGCACACACACACATGCACACACACACATGCACACACACACATGCACACACACACATGCACACACACACATGCACACACACACATGCACACACACATGCACACACACACATGCACACGCACGCACACACACGCACACACATGCACGCACACAGCACGCACGCACACACATGCACGCACACACACACTCATGCACGCACACACATCCACGCACACACATGCACGCACACACACACATGCACGCACACACATCCACGCACACACACACATGCACGCACACACATGCACGCACACACACACATGCACGCACACACACACATGCACGCACACACATGCACGCACACACATGCACGCACACACATGCACACACACAGCACGCACACACACGCACGCACACACACACATGCACGCACACACATCCACGCACACACACACATCCACGCACACACATGCACGCACACACACACATGCACGCACACACACACATGCACGCACACACACGCACACACACGCACACACACACATACACGCACACACACACATGCACGCACACACACACATGCACGCACACACACACACATGCACGCACACACACGCACACACACAGCACGCACACACACGCACGCACACACACACATGCACGCACACACATCCACGCACACACACACATGCACGCACACACATGCACGCACACACACACATGCACGCACACACACACATGCACGCACACACACACACATGCACGCACACACATGCACACACACAGCACGCACACACACGCACGCACACACACACATGCACGCACACACATCCACGCACACACACACATCCACGCACACACATGCACGCACACACACACATGCACGCACACACACACATGCACGCACACACACGCACACACACGCACACACACACATACACGCACACACACACATGCACGCACACACACACATGCACGCACACACACACACATGCACGCACACACACGCACACACACAGCACGCACACACACGCACGCACACACACACATGCACGCACACACATCCACGCACACACACACATCCACGCACACACATGCACGCACACACACACATGCACGCACACACACACATGCACGCACACACACAGCACGCACACACACGCACGCACACACACACATGCACGCACACACATCCACGCACACACACACATCCACGCACACACATGCACGCACACACACACATGCACGCACACACACACATGCACGCACACACACGCACACACACGCACACACACACATACACGCACACACACACATGCACGCACACACACACATGCACGCACACACACACACATGCACGCACACACACGCACACACACAGCACGCACACACACGCACGCACACACACACATGCACGCACACACATCCACGCACACACACACATGCACGCACACACATGCACGCACACACACACACATGCACGCACACACATGCACACACACAGCACGCACACACACGCACGCACACACACACATGCACGCACACACATCCACGCACACACACACATCCACGCACACACATGCACGCACACACACACATGCACGCACACACACACATGCACGCACACACACGCACACACACGCACACACACACATACACGCACACACACACATGCACGCACACACACACATGCACGCACACACACACACATGCACGCACACACACGCACACACACAGCACGCACACACACGCACGCACACACACACATGCACGCACACACATCCACGCACACACACACATCCACGCACACACATGCACGCACACACACACATGCACGCACACACACGCACACACACGCACACACACACATACACGCACACACACACATGCACGCACACACACACATGCACGCACACACACACATGCACACACACACACGCACACACAGGCACACACAGGCACGGGCAGGAAGAAGATTTTGGGCTTCACCACCTTCGCCTCGATTTATGTACACAGGGACCGGACCAGTATCTTGTTGCCCCTCACACACACGTGGAGGCACGGGCAGCAAGAAAACTTATACACGGGTTTGAGGTAGCATATGCATACATACATGCCTGTTGTATATTTAAGCTGTGGTTGACACGTGGCTGCAGATAGGGTGCGAAGTGACTGGAACATAGCTTTGGGAAGTCGCATGCAGTTTTGATTTTAGTCCGTCCCTGGAGCAAGTGTTACTGAATGGTACAGGTGCTATCTGATGCAGGGGCTACCTGGTGTGATCGCTATCTGGTGCAGGTGCTGCCTGGTGCAGGTGCTACCTGGTGCAGGTGCTATCTGGTGAAATGTGCTATCTGGTGCAATGTGCTATCTGGTGCAATGTGCTATCTGGTGCAATGTGCTATCTGGTGCAATGTGCTATCTGGTGCAATGTGCTATCTGGTGCAGGTTCTGTGCGGGTGCTACTTGGTGAAGGCCCAGTCGAGGAAGTGCAGGCGTTGTTCCGTGTGGTTTAGGAGCAGGTCAACCTCCTCCTGGGATACAGTGCAGTGTAAAAAGGACGCGCGTTAGATGGATTAATCTGCTTGTGGTGTACTAACGATTGCGCGTAAGGATGAGAGTCTTTGTACGGCGTAGTATGTTACCCCGCAAGTTTGCTCTACGATGCAGTATGACGAAACGACTTTTGAGGCGACTCAGAAGCATGCTACCGCGCAAGTGTGCTCTATGATCGGGTACGATGAAACCCGACGGGGACCGGGATTCGGGAAGCAAAACGGAGGGAGTGAACGCGACATACAAGAGATCGAGCGTTCGCGCCGGCCAAGGAGTAACCGACGTCCTCCAGTCTCGTCGCGACAGCCGTCGCCAAGTCCATGGCTGCGCTTCGGTGCTGCAAAACCCCGTGTGCGAAATCCCGTGGCCACGGAGAGCGCTTCAACGGAACTGACAACTGCGTTCCAAGATCGCCTCAAAAGACGAGCGGATCGCGTGAAGTGAAACACAGCGCACAAGAAAACAGGAATGCAAAGAATTCCTGGAACAAAGTGGTCGTTTGCATGAAGGAAGTGGTACGGGCGTGCCTACCGGCGGGCCGCGCTGCTGCTAGCGGATTTCTGCTGCTACGGGCAGAGCGCGCTGCTGCTAGGACGAACCTCTGCTGCTACGGGCAGATCGTGCCTGCTGCTAGCGGATTTAACGAGAGTCGCCCTGCTGCTAGGATCGCGCTGCTGCTAGGACGAATCGCTGTTGTGCTGTTTGGACGAATCGCTGATGCTAGGACGAATCGCTGGTGAGCTGCTAGGACGAAAGAGTCATCTTCAACTCACTGGCACGATTTGTCAGCAATATTTTTATCACAGCGACAAGACCGACGAGCTTTGCGAAAGATGCCTTACACTGTAACCTGACGAAAGCCCGTTTCTGCGCTCCCTGGAAGGAGGTGATCGTTCGCACGAATGACTTCGTTTACCCTCTCATGTTGGTGGAAGGTTTTGCTCTGAAGGAAGGCTGCGGTCGTATTCGTATCGCGCGTCAGAAGAAAACGAGGTTCGGATCGGAATGCACACGGAACACGCCTCAACTCTCCTGAAGTGTGTATATTTACTTCAGGAGGGAATCAATTCTGACACTGTATCGAGGCAGTCTGCAGCAGGGAATCGAATTTATTAGGCCGTTGCAGCGCGTTACTTGACCCGAAGCAATTCGTGTGGCTGAGATTCGTTGTACGACGTGGCGGGAAACTTGGTTGTTCTGACACCATGGGCGACTGCCCCTTTCATCAACTTCTGTGCGACAAGCGTACGACGAGCATTTCGGTTGCGCGACCATCTGTGCATGCGACATCATCGGATTTCACGATGGCGTTGGCCTTCTTCAACCAGCGCCAGGAAGTTGGAAAGGCGTGTTTACAAATGAGGCCAAGAGGCCAGAGTCAATCTCAGGTGCTAAGCCGTGAACTCGTTCCCGAACACTTTCAGCCGAGTACATTACGTTAAAAAAGGCTCAGATATTTGAAAGTCATATTCAGCTTGATGGCACGATTTGTCAGCTATAATTTTACTACTGGGACAAGATTGACGAGCTTTGCGAAATAAACGTTACTACAATGTAGCCTGATGTAAGGCCGTTCTCTGCAACAAGCCCCCAAATACTGCTGGGAAGGAGCCCTACCCAAGGCCGCCAAGCACCCCCCACCTCAAGACCAAGAATTGGCCGCTGATGGTTCATGTTGCTCTTCAAAGCGCTTCCTGAGACAATTTAGGCGTTCCTGCCTCCGGCGTTGTAGTCTTTGAAGAGCCTTAGGCCACAATATTCCAGTTTGCAGTCAGTTTAGCCTAAGTTAACTCGCAGCACTTCACCTTACCTGGGTCTAACTTTTGGGGGATCATAGCCAAGCTTCCTTGAGCTATCGCCGAAATCATCGATCTAGCTAATAGCCAACTCCAAAGATTATAGTTTCATGGCGGGGTTGTGTAAAGCGGGTACGGAAGGCCGGTCTAGAATCCACAGACTTCCGGATGCGAAATGAAGAGAGAAGCCCGACGAACTCGCACGCCTTTCATCCGAACCCACCATCGGCTCACCTTCGTTCCTGTCTCCTTCACGCCTCGCATGCGAAAAGCCACGCTTAACACACAGTCGAAAGTAGTTCCTCTTCCCCTCGATAAGATGCCTCCTCCCGTCGACCTAGCCTCTCAACCCCGTCCGAGCACCGCAGATGGCGGTCCACGTCCGGGGGGAAATCAGGACTGGTTACCCACAGATGGAGGGGTACGAGGGGGTAACCAGGAGAAGTTACCCGAGAAAAAGGTTACTCCCAGCCTTAGTGTTGCAGATCGAGTTGCTTCTTTCAAGCAATTGGCTGGACACGACAGGAGCTCCTCCCCCAAACCGTCAGGCTCGACACGGTTCGGAACCGGCGCTGCAGGTTCGGCGAGCCCGTTCAGGGCTAGTTCGGCCGAAGCTGGTTCGAGCGACGTTGGTCTGGAAGTGCAGCTCGGGCAGCTGAGAATAAAAAACGCGGACCTGAAGCTGAACGTGGAAAATCTGCAGGCGGAGCTGAAAGCCGCTAAGGAGCAGATCGGGCAGATGACAAAAGAAATTGAGGCGTGGAAAAAGGAGGGAGTTTCGAAAGACAGCGCTGCTGAGATGAAAGCGGAGATTGAAAAGCTCAAGAAGGAATTGGCAGAGAGCAAAGGAGGAGGAAAGGGCGTGGGGGTAGTGGGAGAGCGAGATAAGGAAATGAAGGAAATGGAGGAGAAAATGATGGTGATGGAGGTAGAGGTTGGGAAGTACAAATTCGTGCATGACAGTTTAAAAGAGAGGGTAGAGAGGCTGACCAGGGATAACAAGAAACGAATTGCGTCTGAGAAAGAGGCGCTAGATGCGATTGGGAAGGTGAGGGAGGAGAAGGAGGAGGTGGAGAAGAGACTGAGTGAGGTGGAGGCGGAAAGGGATGAGGCGAGGAGGAAGTGTGAGGAAGCGCAGCAACGGATGGCAGAGGCTGTGAGAGAGAGAGGAGAGGTGGAGGTGAGGAGGGATGAGGATGTAGCTACTGTGCGGAGGGCTATGGAGGAGGAGAAGCGGAAGGTTGAGGAGGGAAGGAGGAAGGCGGAGGAGGAGAGGGATGGAGTGTTGAAGGCGAAGGGTGAGGTGGAAGGGGAGAAGGGGGTGTTGATGGGTAGGTTGGCGGAGGCGGAGAGGGGACGAGAGGATGCGGAGAAGGGGAGACGAGATGCAGAGGAGGAGAGGGGACGGGCTGAAAGGGAAAAGGAACAGGCGTGGAAGGAGAGGGAGGAGGCGGAGGCAGCTCGGAAGGAGGCGGAAGGGGAGAGGGATGAGGCCGTGAGGGCGAAGGAGGAGGCGCAGAGGGAACGAGATGAGGCGACGAGGGCGTGTGAGGCGGCGGAAACGAAGCAAGAGGAGGCGGAGAAGAGAAGAGACGAGGCAGAGAAGTCAAGGGAGGAAGCAGAGACACGGAGGGAGGAGGCCGAGAGAGAGAGAGGGAAGGCGGAAGAGGAGAAGGAGCAAGCGAAGAAGGAGAGGGAAGAGGCGGAGGCAGCACGGGGAGTGGCGGAGAAAGAGAGGGAAGATGCAGTAAAGGGTAAGGAGGAGGCGGAGAGGGAACGAGAAGAGGCGACGAGGGCTTGTGAGGCAGCGGAAACGAAGCAAGAGGAGGCGGAGAAGAGAAGAGACGAGGCAGAGAAGTCAAGGGAGGAAGCAGAGACACGGAGGGAGGAGGCCGAGAGAGAGAGAGGGAAGGCGGAAGAGGAGAAGGAGCAAGCGAAGAAGGAGAGGGAAGAGGCGGAGGCAGCACGGGGAGTGGCGGAGAAAGAGAGGGAAGATGCAGTAAAGGGTAAGGAGGAGGCGGAAAGGGAACGAGAAGAGGCGACGAAGGCACGTGAGGCTGCGGAAGGGAAGCAAGAGGAGGCGGAGAAGAGAAGAGACGAGGCAGAGAGATTAAGGGAGGAAGCAGAGGCACGGAGGGAGGAGGCTGAGAGCGCAAGAGGGAAGGCGGAAGAGGAGAAAGAGAAAGCGAAGAAGGAGAGGGAAGAGGCGGAGGCAGCACGAGGAGAGGCGGAGAGGGAGAGGGATGAAGCTGTAAAGGGTAAGGAGGAGGCAGAGAGGGAGAGGGAGGAGTCAGTAAAAGGCAAGGAGGAGGCGGAGAGGGAGAGGGATGATGCAGTAAAGGGTAAGGAGGAGGCGGAGAGGGAGAGAGATGATGCAGTAAAGGGTAAGGAGGAGGCGGAGAGGGAGAGGGATGATGCAGTAAAGGGTAAGGAGGAGGCGGAGAGGGGGAGGGATGATGCAGTAAAGGGTAAGGAGGAGGCGGAGAGGGAGAGGGATGAAGCCGTAAAGGGTAAGGAGCAGGCAGAGGCGGGGATGGAGGAGTCAGTAAAAGGTAAGGAGGAGGCGGAGGGGGAGAGGGATGAGGCACTAACGGGTAAGGAGGAGGCAGAGAAAGAGAGGGATGATGCAGTAAAGGGTAAGGAGGAGGCGGAGAAAGAGAAGGATGAAGCAGTAAAGGGTAAGGAGGAGGCGGAGAGGGAGAGGGATGAGGCAGTTAGGGTAAAGCAAGAGGCGGAAACTGAGAGAGACGAAGCAGTAAAAGGTAAGGAGGAGGCGGAGAGGGAGAGAGATGAGGCTGTAAAGTGTAAAGAGGAGGCAGAGAGGGAGAGGGATGAGGCTGTAACGGGTAAGGAGGAGGCGGACGCAAAACGGGCAGAGGCCGAAAGCGCTCGTGAAGCGGCTGAGAAGAGGCAAGAGGAGGCAGAAAGAGGGAGGGAGGAGGCAGAGGGTAAAAGGGAAGTTGCGGAAAGGGAGAAGGAGGAAGCGGAGCAGGCACGTGCAGAAGCAGAGGCACGGAGAGACGAGGCTGAGAGGCTTCGTGCAGAGGCTGATGGGAATAGAGCGGATGCAGAGAGGGCGAAAGAGGAGGCTGAGAAGGCGAAGGAGGAAGCGGATAACGCTAGGGAAGAGGCGGAGAGGGAGAGGGAGAAGGCAGAGAAGAGAAGGGAGGAGGCTGAGAAGGCAAGGGAGGAAGAGGAGAAGCTGAGGAAGGGAGCAGAAAGGGCACGCAATGAGGCGGAGAAAGCAAGGGAGGAGGCGGAGAAAGCCAAGAGCGAGGCAGAGTCGAAGCTGGCAGTTGCAGAGACGAGCAGAGTGGCATCCGAGCAGACGTGTGCTCACGCTGAGGAGAGATCAGCTGAGGCTGAGAAGCAGCGAGCAGCAGCTGAACAGGCTTGTTGTGATGCGAGGGCGCTAGCTGAGGAGGCAGAGAGGCGACGGGAAGGTGCTGAAGTGAAGCAGAAGGAAGAGGAAGAGAGGAGGAAGGAGGCAGAGGAGAGGAGGGAAGCTGCTGAGAAAGTAAAGGAGGAGGTGGAGGAGAGGCAACGAGAGGCAGAGAAAGCAAGGGCTGCTGCTGAGGAAGCGCGAGAGGAGAGCGAGAAGGCAAGGGATGAGGCTGATGCGAAGAGGGAAGAAGCCGAAGAGGCAAGGGAGGAGGCGGAGAAGGGAAGGGAGGAGGCAGTAGAGAGGGCAGCAGCGGCGGAGGAGAGGAGTGAGGAGGAGAGGAAGGCGAGGGAAGAAGCTGAGAGGGCGAGAGAGGAGGCTCAAAGGTTGAGGGAAGAGGCGGAAAAGTGTACAGAGGAAGCGATAAAGGCGAGAGAGGATGCAGAGGCACGATGTGAGGAGGCAGAGAGGAAGCAAGTAGAGGCTGAGGTGGGCAAGGAAGAAGCAGTGGAAGCGAGGCAGCAAGCAGAAGTAGCGCGGGAGGAGGCTGAGAGGAAGCAAGCAGAGGCGGAGAGAATGCAGGTGGATGCAGAAACGAAACAGGCAGAGGCAGAGGTGGTGAAGGAATCAGCAGAAGCAGCACGTGCAGAAGCAGAGGTGGGGAGGGCTGAAGCTGACAAGGCAAGAGAGGCAGCTGACAAGGCAAGAGAGGCAGCTGACAAGGCAAGAGAGGATGCAGAAGGGAGGCTTAGGGAGGCAGAGAAAAGAGCAGAGGAGGCGGAAGAGAGTGCGAGGGAAGCAGTGGAAAGGGGTAAGCAGGCGGAGGAGAGGGCACGGGAAGCAGAGAGGGCAGAGCTAGAGGCAAGAGAACAAAGTGAGGTGGCGAAGAAGGCAAAGGCGGAAGCAGAGGCTACACGCGAGGTAGCAGAACGAGATAGAGAGGCAGCTGAGAGGGCGAAAGAGGAGGCTGAGAGGGCGAGAGAGGAGGCTGAAAAGGCAAGGAGGGAAGCTGAGCAGGGGAAAGAGGAATCGGAGCAAGCTCGAGCAGCAGCTGAAATGTCGACAAAGGAGGCAGTTGAAGCAAAGGAGGAGGCTGAGAGAGTCAGCGAGGAGGGTGAGAAGGCGAGGAAGGAGGCAGAGAGGGGCAGGCGAGAAGCAGAGAGAGCACAGGCGGAGGCGGAGAGGCAGAGAGATGAGGCGGAGAGGCGAATGGCTGGTGCTGGGATGAGCAAGGATGAGGCGGAGAGGGAGCGGGAGGAGGCGCATAGGAGCAGGGCGGAGGCGGAAAGGAGGATGGAGGAGGCAGAAAGCAGGAGAGAGGAGGCTGAGAAGAGGAGAGATGAGGCGGAGAGAGCAAGGGAGGTTGCTGAGGAGGCGAGAGAAGAGGCTGTGAGAGAGAAGGAAGAGGCTATGAGAGAGAAGGAAGAGGCTGTGAGAGAGAAGGAAGAGGCTACTCAGGGGATGGCTGAGGCGGAGGAGAGGCGGGTGGAGGCAGAGAGGAGAGAAAGTGAAGCAGAAGAGAGGGAGCGGGAGGCTGAGAAGGCAAAGGAAGAGGCTGAGAAGGCTTGGGAGGATGCAGCTAAAGCTGCGGAAGAGGCTGAGCAGGCAAAGAGAGAGGCGCTTGAAGCTAAGGCAGAGGCCGAGGAGAGGAGGGCGGAGGCAGAGAGGACTCGAGATGCTGCAGAAGCGAAGGCAGCTGAAGTAGAGAAGGCGATGGAAGAGGCTATCTGTGCGAAGGCAGAGGAGGAAGAGAGGAGGTTGGAGGCCGAGAGAGCACGAGATGCTGCAGAGGCGAAGGCAGCTGAACTAGAGAAGGCTGTGGACGAGGCTGTGAGTGCAAAGGCAAAGGAGGAGGAGAGGAGGGTGGAGGCAGAAACAGCACGAGATGCTGCAGAGGCGAAGGTGGAGGGGTTAGAGAGGGCTGTGGCAGAGGCAGAGGCGGCGAGGAAGGTAGCAGAGGAGGAGAGGAGTGAGGCGTTGAGGGGCGAGGAGTGTGCTGTGGAGGAGCGGTATGAGCTGGTGCAGGCTCTTGAACGGGCGGGTGAGGAGAAGGATGAGTTGACAAGGGCTGCTGAAGCAGTGAAAGGGGAGAGGGATGAGCTGGTGCAGGCTCTTGAACGGGCGGGTGAGGAGAAGGATGAGTTGACAAGGGCTGCTGAAGCAGTGAAAGGGGAGAGGGATGAGCTGGTGCAGGCTCTTGAAAGGGCGGGCGAGGAGAGGGATGAGCTGGTGCAGGCTCTGCAGAGGGTGACTGAGGAGAAGGATGAGCTGGAGAGGGCTGTTGCAGCAGCGATAGGGGAGAGGGATGAAGCGGTGAGGGCTGCTGAAGCAGTGAAAGGGGAGAAGGATGGGGCGGTGCAGGTGGTTGAGAGGACGGGTGAGGAGAGGGATGAGATGACGAGGGCTGTTGCAGAGGCTGTTAGGGAGAGGGACGAAGCGGTGAAGGCTGTCGAAGCAGCGAGAGAGGAGAGGGACAGGGCAGTCGAGGCTGTGGGGTTGGCAGTAGAAGAGAGGAACGAAGCAGTGAGGACTCTTGACAGGGTGACAGCGGAGAGGGACAAGGCGATGCTGGTGATTGATGAGGTGGTTAAAGAGAGGGATGAAGCGGAGAAGGCTGTTGCATTAGCCGTTGAAGAAAGGAACGAGGCAGTGAGGATTCTTGACAGGGTGACGGCGGAGAGGGACGAGGCGATGCTCGTGATTGATGAGGCGGTTGGGGCGCTTGGAGGGGCCGTTGGGGCGAGGGAGGCGAGAGGGCTGGTTGGAGAGAGGGTAGCGATCAGGGAGAGAGAGGCGCGAGCGGTGACAGCGGAGAGGAACGAAGCGGAGAGGAACGAAGCGGAGAGGGACGAGGCGATGCTGGTGACTGACGAGGCGGTTGGGGCGCTCGGAGGGGCCATTGGTGCGCGGGAGGCGCGAGGGCTGGTTGGAGAGAGGGTGGCGATTAGGGAGAGAGAGGCGAGAGGGATGGTTGAGGAGAGGGTGGTGAGTGAGGAGAGGGAGGCAATTGGGGCAGGAGGGGATATTGGAGAGAGGGAGGGGATTGGGGAGAGGGAGGCTATTGGGGAGAGGGAGGCTATTGGGGAGAGGGAGGCGATTGGGGAGAGGGAGGCGATTGGGGAGAGGAAGGCGATTGTGGAGGGGGATGTGAGGGAGGTGGTGAATGTGGATGAAGCTGAAGCAGCAGGAGGGGATGGCGAGAAGGTGACGGTTTGTGTGGGGTGTTCAAGTAAGTGTGATGGGTTTGTGGGTGGGAGAGGCGAGGTGGAAGGGAGATGGCAGGAGGCTGTTGCGGTCAAGGGCGATGAGAAGTGGTGGAGAGCGGTGGAGAACGATAGGGAGGAAGCGGAGAGGAGGCGGGAGGAGGCGAAGAGACGACTAGAGGAGCTGAAGGGGATCCTTGATGAGGTGAGAGGAAAGCAGGAGGAGTCTGAGCGGAAACTGGAGGAAGTCGAGAAACAGCTGGTGGACATGGGGAATGAGAAGGCTGCTGCTGAGAGCAGGAGAGAAGCGGCAGAGAGGGAGAGGGTTGAGGCAGAAGGGAGGAGAGTGAGAGCAGAGGAGATGAGGGATGAGGCTGAGAGGAAGTTGGAAGAAGTTGAGAAACAGCTGGTGGACATGGGGAATGAGAAGGCGGAAGCAGAGAGGAGTAGAGAGGAGGCGGAGGCTGAGAGAGAAGAAGCGGAAAGGGCGAAGGTTGAGGCTTTGGCACGGTTGGAAGCGGCTGAGACGGCACGCAAAGCGGTGGAGAATGAGAAGGTTGAGGCAGAAGAGGGGAGAGTGAGAGCAGAGGAGCAGAGGGATGAATCTGAGAGGAGGAGAGATGATGCTTTGAGGGAGAAGGAGCAGGCAGAGAAGGAAAGGGAGGAGGTGGAGAAAGCAAGGGAGGAAGTGGAGAAAGCATGGAAAGACGAGGGGCTGAGGAGAGCAGAAGCAGAGAAGGCACTAGAAGAGGCACTGGAGGCAGGTTTTGTGGTGGATGGGCGGACGGGGCAGACGGAGAGGAGGATAGAGAAGGCGGAGCAGAGCAGAGAAGAGGCAGAGAAGATGAGAGAAGAGGCAGAGAAGGGAAGAGAGGCAGCAGAGAGGAGGAGAGAGGAGGCAGAGAGGAGGGGAGATGAGGCAGAGAGGGCACTAGAAGAGGCGCTAGAGGCAGTAGTGCAGGCAGAGGTTCGAAGGGAAGAGGCGGAGAGGGATAGAGATGAGGCAGAGAGGAGGAGGGAAGAGGCGGAGAGGGATAGAGATGAGGCAGAGAGGAGGAGGGAAGAGGCGGAGAGGGATAGAGATGAGGCAGAGAGGAGGAGGGAAGAGGCGGAGAGGAGAATAGAAGAGGTTGAGGAGGATTTGACTGAGCTGGTGGTGAAGCTTGAGGTAGTAGAGAAGGCAAAAGCAGAGGCGGAGGAGGGGATTCAGGACAAAAATGCATTGACAGGTGAAGATGCAGAAAAGGGGGAAGTGGATGGGGGGATTACAGAGGGGGAGAGGGAGAGGGAGCGGGTGGTACGGGAGGTGGAAGAGTTGACAGTGCAGATAGAGGTACTGGAGAGAGAGAAGGAGGAGGGTGAACGGGAGAAGGAGAGAGCTGAGAAGGAGAAGGAAGAGGCATTGAGAGAAAGGGAGGAGGTTGTGAGACGGCTTGAGGAGATGCAAGAGATGCTGGAAGAGGTGAGAAGGGAGGAGGCTTACAGAAGGGAGGAGGCTGAACAAGAGAAGGAGGACGCTTACAGAAGGGCAGAAGATGCTGGAGTACGAGTGAGAGAGGCAGAAGCAGGAAGAGAAGAGGTGGAGAGGAGGAGAGAAGTAGCAGAGGGGGCACTGTCGCTAGCAGAGGTGGTATTGCAGGAGGCGGAGGTGTGGAGAGAAGAGGCGGTGAGGCGTTGGGGAGAAGCAGAGGGGGCAGTGTTGATGGTCGAGGTGGTATTGCAGGAGACAGAGGCGTGGAGAGAGGCGACACAGAGGAAGTTGGCAGAAGGAGAGGGGTTATGGAAAGAAGCTGAGCGTGCGAGAGAGGAGGCAGAGAGGAGGAGAGAAGAAGCAGAGGGGGCACTGTCGCTAGCAGAGGTGGTATTGCAGGAGGCAGAGGTGTGGAGAGAAGAGGCGGTGAGGAGATTAGAAGAGGGAGAGGCGTTGAGGGAGGAGGCTGAGCAGGCGAGAGAGGAGGCTGAGAGGAGGAGGGAAGAAGCAGAGGGGGCTGTGGAGGTAGCAGAGGCAGCGAGAGATGAGATGGAGCGGGCGAAAGAGGAGGCTGAGGCTAGCTGGGAAGAGGCGCTGGTGATGCTGGGAGAGGCTGATAGGGGGCGAGAGGAGGCGGAGAGGAGAAGGGAGGAGGCTGAGAAGAAGATTGTGGAAGCTGAGAGGTTGGGAGAGGTAGCAGAGAGACGAGGAGAGGAGGCAGAGAGACGAGGAGAGGAGGCAGAGAGACGAGGAGAGGAGGTAGAGAGACGAGGAGAGGAGGCAGAAGGTAAGGAACGAAGGGAGGATGCAACGCACAGTTCTGAAGAGAGTGTGGTGATCGTTTCAGAAGCTGATGAGCAACCTGTAGAGGCGAGAGGGGCTGGCGAGGAGAAGGAGGGAGAGATTAGAGGAGAGGAAGCGGGAAGCGATGGTATGGAGGGCGGGGACGGAGCAGAGGCAGTGGAGGGCGCTTTGGAATTAGGGGCACGGGAGGGTAAGCGATGGCGGGGTGGAGGTGGGGAGGATGGGGAGAGCAGTGGAGGGGAGGAGGAGGATAAGGGCTGCAGCCGTGAGGAGAAGGGTCGGGAGAGCAGTGGGGAGGAGGAGCAGGTGAAGGGAGTGATTTGTCACTGCACTCAGAAAGAGGTGCTGCCCGAGGGTGCTGCTGCAGAGGTGCCACTCAGAGGGTGGCCGAATCCTGACAGCAGTGGGGGGGAGACAAGTGTGGTTGGCATGAGCTTTCTGGAAAGGGAAAGAGACGAGCTAAGAGTGCGGTGGGAGGCGGCAGAGGAGAGACGGAGGGAGCTGGAAGCGATTGTGAGTAAAACGGGTTTGCAGCTAGAGAGGGTGGGTGGGGTTGAGGAGGTTGAGAGGGCGAGGGGAGAGGCAGAGAGAGGGAGGGAGGAGGCGTTGAAAGAGAGGGACGAGGCGGTGAGAGAAAAGGATGAAGCTGAGAAGGCAAGGCAAGAGGCGGAATTGAGGGTTGAGGAGGCGGAGAAGCAGAGGGATGAGGCGGTGAAAGCGTGGGAGTGTGCGGAGGAGGCAAGGAGAGAGGCGGAGGCAGCAAGGGATGAAGCTCTGGAATCAAGAGAAGGCATTCAGAAGTCGTGGGATGATGCTGAGGAGGCGAGGAGAGGGACGGAGGCAAGGCTTGAAGAGCTTAAGCAGGCTTTGGAGGAGGCTGAAAGGGCAAGGCAAGAGGCTGAGATGGCAAAGCAAGTGGCAGAGGCGGCGAGAGAGGAGGCTGAGGCAACTTGGAAGGAGGCAGTGGAGAAAGCAGAAGAGGCGGAGGAGAGGAGCGAGAAGAGGTGTGAGGAGGAGAGGAAGGTGAGGGACGAAGCTGAGAGGGCGAGGGAGGAAGCTGAAAGAATGAGAGAGGAGGCTGAGAAGGGAAGGGAGGAGGCGGTAGCGAGACAAGCCATGCCGTGCAGTGCGTGCGCTGAAAAAGACGAGGCGATGCAGTCCATTCTCAACGAGCTTGTTGCCGCCCAGGCTGCGTCTGAAGCTGCCATAGCGTCGGCGGCTACCAACGCTGCGGAGGAGGTTCGGGCGGAGCTTCGGATGGCGCAGGAAGGGTGGGAGAAGAGGCTGAGTGAAGTGGAAGGGGAGTTAGAGCGTGTGAAAGGGGAGGGAGAGAAGCTTGAGAAGAGAGTGAAGGAAGCGGAGGGGGAGGGTGTGAGATTGCGAGAGGAGGTGGAGGGAGAGAGGAAGGGGAGGGAGGAGGAGAGAGCTGCCAAGGAGGAAGAGAAGAGAGCAAAGGAAGAGGAGAGGAAGGCGAAGGAGGAGGAGAGGGAGAGACGGGAGCAGGCGGAGGCAGGGAGGAGGGCAGCGGAGGAGGAGGCGCAGTTGACTAGGGAGGACCTGGAGGTGATGCGAGACGCAAAGAGGGAGACGGTGCGGAACCTCACAGACTCACTGCTGGCAGCGGAGGAGCAGAGGAAGCGACTGCTGTTCCTGCTGCGCAAGGCACAGGTCATCGAAGGTGAGCCATTGGTGTGAGTGTGTGTAGGGTTTTTTGTTACAATAAAAGCAACCCGCAGCGAAGAGGGAGACGGTGCGGAACCTCGCAGACTCATTGCTGGCCGCGGAGGAGCAAAGGAAGCGACTGCTGTTCCTGCTGTGCAAGGCACAGGTCATCGAAGGAGAGAATTTGGGATAGATAGATTGCAAGTGGGGGTTGCTTGCGAATAGTTTGCCAGTTGAGGTATGGTAATGAAGCTGGTTGTCCGGTCAGTGAGTGAGCATGTTTTGAGGCACCTCAAAAGTCGTCTGTGTTTTGAGGCGCCTCAAAAGGTATGGAGATGAAGCAAGTGAAGGGCTGGTTGTCCGGTCAGTGAGTGAGCATGTTGCAAGCAATAATTATTTTGCTCCTTTTGTGTTGCCTTGTGCCCTCCATGCAGGTCTCTAGCACCCAGACATATGTACAGGAATGACATAGATCATCCTTATATTGTCTCCGAGGAGATTGTTTTGCAAGCATTGCTGGATAGTGGTCGTAGAAACTCTGTTGACACTGGTTTATAGTAATAATGAATTCCGTGTTAGTGTATACAACCTTTTTCTGTACAATTTGAACGTTATTCAGAGGTTTGGTGATGCTTCTGATTGTTTATTTGGGGACTTTGCAACGCAATTTGTTTTTTTATCAAAGGCTTTGAACACGAGACACGTTTTTTGTTCATTTAGGGAGTTCTCTAGTTACCTTTCTAGAGTTTTCAGGACAGTATTCAAATCGCATTCTTGGTACATAACGCGTGTTAAGTGACACAAAAAAATCGGACGTGAATTCTCTGCACCACGGGAAACCCTATTGATTCAGCACCGCAGTAGACTAATCAGGTGTGCAGGAATCATCGCAAGCATGGTGGAGCGCGCAGCGTACCAGCGGTCGCGCAACGCGTCGCAACAGCGGCGGACATCGCAGCAGCAGCAGCAGCAACAGCAAGGCCAGTCGCACAGCCAGGTCGCACAGCCGTCGCAACAGCCGCAGTCGCAGCAACAAGAGCAGGCGCAGGGGCACAATGTGAACACCGCGGCTCAGCCGCCAAGCGCGCAGGCGCAGGCGCAGCCCGCGCAGCAAAGGACTCATCAGCGCGCGCTTCCCCCACAGCAGCGGCAACCAGCGCAGCAGAAGCGGCAGCAGTTGCGCCAGACCGCGGCGCAACGGCGCACGTCGCTAGTGCAGGCCGCGCGGCAAACTGGAGGGGATGCGGGGAAGGCGGAACATGGCCAGGGGGATCCGGGGAAGCCGCCGCAGGGTCAGGGGGGGCATGGGAAGGCGCAACTGGCCGGGGGAGCAAACCCGCCAGCGCACGCCCCGCTTCCGCCTCTTCCGCGGAAGCAGCAAACGCGGGTGCAAGCGCAGGTGGCGCAGCAGGGGGAAGCGCAGGCGGAAAAGCAGGCGGGGCAGCAGGGTGGACAGCAAGGGGGGAGGCAGTATAGGGGGCAGCAAGGGGGGCAAGCGCATAGGTTACAACAAGAATCATCACAGCCGCAACCAGAACAGCACCAGCAGCAGCACCAGCAGCAGCACCAGCAGCAGCAGCATAATTCCTCCGGGCAGGATGCCACTCACGGGCAGGCGTCCGGGCAGACGAAAGGGCACCCTCAACCAGACAGGCAGGAGCCGGGGGGGCAACCCCAAGCCCACGGGCAGGGAAGCGGGCAGACTTCCGGGCAGGTTTCGGAGCAGCTGCCAATGCACGAAGGCCACGTGGAGCATGCTATTCTGCCTGAGCGGCCGGATTGGCTGGATGATTACGAGATAGTGGGGAAGATCGGCGAGGGGACGTATGGGCTGGTGTATCTGGCTAAGGACCGGCGCAAGGGCAAGGGGTCGGGGCGGTCGGCTCTTAAGAAGTTCAAACAGACCAAGGAGGGCGATGGCGTGTCTCCCACTGCCATCCGCGAGATCATGGTGAGAGGGGAAAAAGAAGAAGGCGAGGGGTAGGGGGAGGGGAGAAAGAGGGGATCAAGGGAGGGGGAGGGCAAGGGGGAGGGAGAGAGGGAGAGGGTGAGGGCAAGGGGTTGGGGAGGTGGGCTGGGGTGAAGAAGGCAACGTGCAACGTCCACATCCGCTACCACACATGCCATTCGATGCCACCCTGTTGCTCCCTTGCTTTCTCGTTCTCGTTCTCTTTTCCTGCCGGACTCTTCCTTCCTCCACCAGCTACAACAAGAGTGCGAGCACGAGAACACAGTGCACAGCTGCTGAACACAATGAGTGATCACACAAGCCACCCTCTTTCTGTCTTGCTGTCTTGCTCGCTTGTTCTGCCCCCTCACCAGCTACTACAGGAGTGTGAGCACGAGAACATAGTGCAGCTGCTCAACGTGCACATCAACCACAACGACATGTCGCTCTTCCTCGCCTTCGATTATGCCGAACACGACCTTTATGTGAGTGTGTGAGCCCACCTACTATTCAGTGCAGCACATCATTCACGTGCCATCACCCCATGCCATCACCCCATGCCATCAACCACAACGACATGTCGCTCTTCCTCGCCTTCGACTACGCCGAGCACGACCTTTATGTGAGTAAACCCTTACTTAGCCACCCATCCTTGGTGGTAGAAACTAACCATGCTTGAAGTAGGGGTGGAGGTGGAGGTGAGTCAGTATGTCTGACCACAACGACATGTCGCTCTTCCTCGCCTTTGACTATGCCGAGCACGACCTCTATGTGAGCACGACCTCTATGTGAGCACGACCTTTATAAGGTTAAGCATGCTGGGTATTCGTGCGTGTGCACCTTGTGCACAATCCCTGCACACACCGTCCGCTTCCTCCGCGAGCATCTGAAGCGCACTCCCTCTGTGAATCCTAACCGATTCAGTGGCATCTTCACATGCCATTTCCCCATACCCCCCCCCCCCCTCCCCCCCCCCCACCCCCCCCACGCCGTCTCCATACGCCTTGCCATGCGTGCGCGCCGCAGGAAATTATCCGTTTCCACCGCGAGCACCTGAAACGCCCTTTCTCTGTTGGTGCTATGATGCGAGGAAATCACACACACACCATATGAGCGGCTCTTGGGCATTCCCCAAAACACCATCCCACCATCCCATCCATACCCATCAGGAGATCATCCGCTTCCACCGCGAGCATCTGAAACGTCCCCTGTCTGAATACACGGTGAAGTCGCTGCTCTGGCAGCTGCTCAACGGGCTGCACTACCTGCACAGGTGGGTAGGAGGGTGGGCAAGGCACTCAATTAGCATCTGAAGCGCCCTCTCTCCGAGTACACTGTCAAGTCGCTGCTCTGGCAGCTGCTCAATGGGCTGCACTACCTACACAGGTGGGCGGGTGGTTGTACCGTGTGTGGAAGGCGGTTTGAGGCATGCACATTTCAAGCACATGTCAAGCTCCTGTCAAGCTCCTGTCAAGCTCCTGTCAAGCTCCTGTCAAGCTCCTGTCAAGCTCCTGTCCCCCTCCATCATAAGGATTGCCGAGCAGGCGTTTCCTATGCAGCTCCCGTCATGCACGCAGGAGTCTCTTGCCCAACCAGCCCTGCACCTGCTTCTGTCCAACTGCATTCACAAGTTGTGATCCTCTCTGCTCTGCTCTCGCGAAAAACGTTGGCCCCCCGTAGCAGCAATCACTTGTTTAATTGGATTCACATCGCCCCGTTCTTTTGTTTTGCGCAGCAATTGGATTATCCATCGGGACCTGAAGCCTTCTAACATCCTTGTAAGCTCTTTCGGTGTGAGGCGGTCGGTGCAGGCACGCACTGTGTTGAAGAAGTGTTTTGAGACGTCTGTTTCAAAACACTTCTTCAAACTTCGGTGTGAGGCGGTCGGTGCAGGCACGCACTGTGTTGAAGAAGTGTTTTGAGACGTCTGTTTCAAAACACTTCTTCAAACTTCGGTGTGAGGCGGTCTGTGCAGGCACGCACTGTGTTGAAGAAGTGTTTTGAGACGTCTGTTTCAAAACACTTCTTCAAACTTCGGTGTGAGGCGGTCTGTGCAGGCACGCACTGTGTTGATATCCCGTGGCAGTGCATATTCTGGTGCCACATTCAGTGTTGAGAAGGCTTTAAAGCTGGTGTCTTCTGACTAAGTTTATGTGATTTTCCCATAGATTCTGCCATGTACATGGCAGATACATAGATAAACACATGTGAGGGTGGGTGTGCTCACCTATAAACAAAGATACACACACACACACACACACACACACACACACACACACACACACACACACACACACACACACACACTCTCACTCTCACCCACTCTCGCACACCCACCCTGACCACCAGGTGATGGGCGAGGGCGAGGAGCAAGGGGTGATCAAGATCGGCGACTTTGGCCTCGCCCGCATCTTCCAGTCGCCCCTGCGCCCGCTCTCCGACAACGGGGTGAGTTGAGTTGAGCGCAGTGAGTCGAAGACTTCTTGGTCCTTCAATCCAATCTAATCCAATCCAACCCGACCCAATACAATCAGCATGTTGTTTTCTCTGACTGATGGTCGACTTGTTGGCGACTCAGCATAAATTCTCTGCCATTCACTTGTCTCTCCCTGGCCCCTTTCTAGACCTTCAAGTTGCTTCGGTGGCCATTCCCTACTGTGCTTTCTGAGACGCTCACTTTTCACTTGCTTAACCTTCCCCGTGCTTTTTGCTGGGCTTCTGTGTCCATCCTCCGTGCATGTCTGTCCAAGTTGTTGCTACCATCTGCTATTCCTTGCTACATCCCGACACTCCCTGTCCCCCTCTCCTTTTTCCTCACGCCTCTCCCCACTCCCCTTGTGTGCCCAAGTGGTGGAAACCATATGGTATCAAAACCCCTTTGAGTCGTCTCAAAAGGCATGCCTCACCTCACGCCTCTCTTCAATCTGGTGTTTGAGAATTCTAAAAAACCATATGGTATCAAAACCCCTCTGAGTCGTCTCAAAAGGCATGCCTCACCTCACGCCTCTCTTCAATCCCCTTGTGCCCCCCAGGTTGTGGTGACCATCTGGTATCGATCCCCAGAACTGCTGCTAGGCTCACGGCACTACACATGTGCTGTCGGTATGTGTTTTAGCTTTTCTCCCTGTCTTCCACCTTCCCTTGTTGTTCTAAGGCTTTAAGTTCCTGCCTCTCCTCTCCTTCCTTCCACCGCTTCCCACCTGCGTCACCCTGCCTGCTTCACACTCTGCTTGCGTCCTTCTGCCACTCGATTACCCCGTACCATCATCCACCGCAACACCCTGTACGGGAAGGTATGTGGGCGTTAGGGCGAAACCAATATTTCTGCTGCCTTTCATCTGCCCGTGTTTGAACCGCCCGTTATCTACCACCACCACCCTTAACCACCAGACATGTGGGCGGTGGGGTGCATATTCGCGGAGCTCCTCACACTCAAGCCCTTGTTCCAAGGCCTCGAGGATAAGACCTCCGCCAATGCCTTCCAGGTGCGCTGCTCCCCTTACTGCTCCTGCTCCTGCTCCTGCTCCTGCTCCTGCTCCTGCTCCTGCTCCTGCTCCTGCTCCTGCTCCTGCTCCTGCTCCTGCTCCTGCTGCTGATGGTATTTCTTTTCTCTCCATGGTTCGTTCGTACTGCTTGTCTCTGTCACGCTTCGCACCCTTTTCCCTCATCCCTTCCTGCTCATCCGCTGACAAAGCTCGCCCTTTTTCGCTCAACCCACCTCCCTCACCTCGTACTCACATCTTCTTTGCACGGCAGAAGGACCAGCTGGATAAGATCTTCAGAGTGCTAGGTGGGTGCTGGGTGGTGATAGGTGGTGATAGGTGGTGATAGGTGGTGATAGGTGGTGATAGGTGGTGATAGGTGGTGATAGGTTGGTGATAGGTGGTGATAGGTTGGTGATAGGTGGCTGGATACAAGGTGCGTGGTTTGTGTACACCTGCGAACATGTCTGTAGCGTATGAAATATTAATCCTTGACTAAAATCGTAGGCAAAGTCACAGGCAGTCGACTCACCACTTACAACCAAGTCAAACCGAAGCACACCCGCAGGCCATCTTAAGGTTCACAAGTTGTCCAACGCTGCTTCTCTACCAAGTGAGGTGCTCACTCTCTGTCACCGCCTTTCACTCCTCTCAACCCCTTCCCACACCTATTCCCACACCTATCAGGCCACCCCACAGTGGACAAGTGGCCAATGCTGCAGTACCTTCCACATTGGCAGGCGAACCGCCAACTCATTCAAGACAAGAAGTAGTGAGTTGTGGTTCGCTCTGCTTGGATTCACAGTAAATGAGCTGTCGCACACCTGGTCTCTCATGCTCTCATCTGCCTCTGCCCGTGTGCCCCTTTTGCCCGTATGCCCGTATGCCCTTATGCCCTTATGCTCGTATGCCGGTTTGCCGTATGTACTTTCACCCTTATGCCCTTATGTCCTCATAACCGTCTTCTCCTCTGCTCTCACTGCTGTCCTGTTCCTTCCTCCTCTCCCTCCCTTCACTCCTCTTGCAGCCCCAGCAGCCTTACCGCATTCTGCACAGCTGGTCTTCATGCTCTCATGCTCCCATGCTCCCATGCTCTCATGCTCCCATGCTCCCATGCTCCCATGCTCTCATGCTCCCATGCTCCCATGCTCCCATGCTCTCATGGTCTCATGTGCTCCTCGCCCTTCCCACAGCCCCCAGCCGCAGCCTTACCGCATTCTGCACAGCTGGTCTTCGTGCCTTCATGCCTTCATGCTCCCATGCTCCCATGCTCTCGTGCTCCCACCCATGCTTTCATGTGCCCCCCACCCCCCTCACAGCCCACAGCCAGAGCTCTACCGCATTCTGCACAGCTGGTCGCCCAACTCGCATGCCGTCAACCTGCTGCTGCGCATGCTCGAGTGCGTACCCCATCTCCTCTCTTTTCATGCGCCTCCAACGGCTCAAAACCTACGCTCACGAGTACCATAGCATGATGACTGTTGAATCGGCCCCGCACAGTTCTCCGGGTTCATAAGCCGCGCTCACAAAAAACACATGCCAGTGGATGGTGTTGCAGCACTGTGGATGGTGTTGCAGTACTGTGGATGGTGTTGCAGTACTGTGGATGGTGTTGCAGTACTGTGTCTTAATCATGTTGCCCCGGCATGTGACACGACAAACTATCCTAATAACACGTCGCTCCTCAACTTCTTCCCAAGAAACCATACCGACATAGCTATGAACGTGCTTTTGAGTCGACTCAAAAGTCTCTTCCCAAGAAACCATACCGACATAGCTATGAACGTAAGCGCTTGTTGGGCAACTTCGTTCCGTCCCTCCAACTTCGCATCTCATTGCTTCTCGTTGCATCCCGTTGCTTCTCGATGCATGTTTTCCCTGGAAATTCGTGTGTCAACATCCTGTCTCCTCGTGTGCTCCCAGTACAGACGTTGCATCTCTATGTTTTCACAGACCTGTACTTTGCAGGCCACCTGTCCATTGTTGACAAGTCCTCGTGTGTTCCCAGTACAGACGTTGCATCTCTTTGCGCTTGCTTGCCCCTGCCACGCCCTGCCTATGTTCTTGCAGCTATGACCCCAAGAAGCGGATAACAGCAGGGCAGGCACTCGAGCACGAGTGAGTGCCCTTTATTTGGTTTGTTTGCTTTATTTGTCCCAGCTACAGAGAGCCTCAAGCTGGAAAGACCAAACGCACCCACGGCACCCTCGCGCTCAATTGAGTTTGCTCCGTCAGTCATTCTTTTGTCCTTTTCCTCTTCTGACCTCCCTCATTTCCACCACGCTCATATCTTTCTGCGTACCTCTATTATTCCCCCCGCCTCCTCTCTTCTCTCCTCCTTCCTCATGCCTCACTCGACCACCCTCACTTGCCGCACTTGTCTCACTGTCTCTCTTGTTTTAATCGCCTCATTGGTTTCATTTGCCTCGCTTGCTTCACCCCTCTTGCAGGTACTTCCGCATCGACCCGCTTCCCGGCCGCAAGTCAGTACTCTCCTCCCCACGCCCCTCTCCTCCACACGCCCCTCTCCTCCACACGCCCCTCTCCTCCACACGCCCCTCTCCTCCACACGCCCCTTTACTCCACCACACCATTTCTTGTGTTCCTTCACATCACTCCTGCTTGGATGTCCCTTGTTCTCTATTCCCCTCACCCTCTTCCCTCACCCTCTTCCCTCACCCTCTTCCCTCACCCTCTTCCCTCACCCTCTTCCCTCACCCTCTTCCCTCACCCTTCACACCTTCCCCGTTCTCCTCTGCCCCCTTTCCTCCTCTTCCCTCCCCCCAGCTCGTTCTTCTCAGGCCACCACCCCATGGAGCGCCCAGTGGTGTATTTCAAGCGTCCAAGCCCCTGCATTCCCACCCTCCCTGTTTTCCTCTCCACCCCCTCTCCTCCTTCCCCCTCCCCCAATTCCCCCCCAGCTCGTTCTTCTCAGGCCACCCCATGGAGCGCCCAGTGGTATCCCCAAGTGCCTTCCCTTTTCCCACTCACCTCACCCCTTCCTCTTCCCCCTCTCCCTCTCTCACCCTTTCCTCCTCTCCCCTCCCTCAGCTCGTTCGTCTCAGGCCACCCCAGGGAGCGCCCAGTGGTGTATCCCAAGCGGCTGCCAGTCCCCTGTTCCCCTCACCCTTTTCCCTCGTGTCCTTTCTTCCACCCCTCTCCTTTTCTTCCTCCCCCGCAGCTCCTTCTTCTCAGGCCACCCCATGGTGCGCCCAGTGGTGTACCCCAAGCCCATGCCACTTCCCTCTCAACCCCTCTCAACCCCTGCCAACAGCTCGTTCTTCTCAGGCCACCCCATGGAGCGCCCAGTGGTGTACCCCAAGCGCCCTGTGGACCTCTCAACTGATTTTGAAGGCATCTCCACCCTCTCCTCCGCTGCTGCCTCCTCCCATGTCGCTGCTCTCTCTGCCATGCCTCCACCGCACCAGCAGCATCATCAGCAGCACCAGCATCAGCATCAGCAGCAGCAGCACCATCATCAGCAGCAGCAGCACCATCAGCATCAGCAGCAGCAGCAGCATCAGCAGCAACAGCAGCAACAGCAGCAGCAGCAACACCATCGGCACCATCAGCAGGTGGGTGGGTGTGCATGGGTGTGCATGGGTGCGAGTGTGGGTATGCATGAAGGGATGGGCTCGTTGAAGCCTGGAAGTATGGAGATTGCGTTTTCATGCCACTGTGTCGCCATTCCGCATACCATCATGCCCATACCATCCATGCCCCATACCATCCATGCCCCATACCATACATGCCCCATACCATCATGCCCCATACCATCATGCCCCATACCATTATGCCCCATACCATCATGCCCCATACCATCCATGCCCCATACCATCCATGCCCCATACCATCCATGCCCTGTACCATCTATGCCCCATTCCCCACCTCCCATCCCCCACCCATCCCCCCATACAGCCATCAGCGCCAGGGCAGCGCATGGCCACATTAGTGTGTGTGTTGTCCGTTCCCCACCCCACATTACCCACCCCCCCAATCCCCACCCCTCCCGCCACACCCCATCCCCCACCCCTCTCCCCACAATCCCCCACACCTTCCCCCACCAGCCATCAGCGCCAGGGCAGCGCATGGCCAACGTCACCCTGCTGCACCGCTCAGGGTCAGGAGGAGGGAGCGGGGAGGGGAGCGCAGGTGCCGTGGGCAGTGGCGGGGGGAGCAGGGGTGGGGGGCAGGGGGCAGGGGGGAGTCAGCAGGGGCAGCAGGGGTATCAAGGGCAGCAGCAACAGCACAATCAGCCGCATCACAGCCAGCAGCAGCACAGCCAACAGCAGGTTTCCCAGGGACAGATCCAGCAGCAGCACCATTTTCACCCTCCCTCACAAGTATGGGACCCGTTGAACCCTCTGCATGTGTTCATGTGGACCGTGCATGTTCTATATGTCATGTATGCTATGGATTGTGGATGTGATGCATCAACATGATGCCATCACATTCATCCTCCTTTCCTCCATCCCCATGCTGTCAGGGTTATCATCCTTTCCGCCTTCACCATGCCATAATGTTTATCCTTATCCTCCATTCCCATGCCATCACATTTATCCCAATGCCTTCATGTTTATCCTAATTGCCTACACCCCCCACGGTTAGAACCTACTTAAACACCCATCCCCCAACCTACTTGGTGCTTCAAAACCACCTGCGATATGCAGCCGCGCAGCACGAGGGAGAGGAGCGGTCTGGCGCACGGGCAGCCCGCCACCAAGATTCGACGAACTTAGACGCCAGTCGACACGTGTACATTAACATGTATATAACATTTTGCACATTTCCGGGAATGAAGTTATGTAATCATATAAGCAAGAGTTAAGCACAATTTGAAAAGAGAAGAAGAAAATTTGAACATTCTGACCTTTTTTACTACACAGCAATGTTTTTAGAGGGCTGGATAGCAACCTTAGAAAGAATCTTGCTGGTAGGATAAAGTGACTCAACTCTAATATAGAATGCAGTAGACTGGAAAGAGGTCTATGCTTTCCAACCGAGCTTCATTGGTTCATGTTTTAAACGCGATATTTATTGGGTTCTACATCCTCGCCGCTTCGTCCGCCGCGATTTTGCGAATCGGGTCGAACTAAGTCGCAGATAATAAGTCCAGTCGCGTTGATATGGCAGCCCGCGTTCGTTTCGTCCAGCCACGCTGTTAGTTTGCCATACATAGATAATACTGTTACTCACTCTGGCAGCAGCGATCGAATTTGGAACCTTTGTCCCGCAATTACAGCGACACGTGGCAGCCAGCATATCGAATTTTATGTCGACTGAAAGCGCACCGAGCGAATCGTTGATCAGCATCACGTCGATTACTCGTATTATGGCAATGAGTGCTCTGACACTAATATAGGCGATTTGCGTTACAAGCTTTCGGCTTCGTCTGACGACAAGTTAGCAGGTTCCGATCCGTTTCTCTGCGATGTTTAAGAAGAAGAATTTCCGTCGCAGGCAGGACGACGACGACGATGGCGACGGTGGGGGCGAAGGCGATGCGCGAAACGGCGGGACCGCCGCCGCGAAGCCCGTTGCCTTAAAGACGACCAGTAACAAACCTAAGGCGGCTCCGGCGACGACTAAGGCGACACCGTCGAGCTTGCTTAGCTTCGCAGCCGACGAGGAGGGAGAGGGCGACGATGGCGGGCCGTTCGGCATGGCGATCGCCGTGGGGGGGAGACCAAAACCTAGCTCGAAAGAATCCAAAGCAAAATCCAGATCGGCGGGGTTCGGTACGGGGCATGGGGAGGGGCATAGAGTGAACAGGGATAAGAAGGGCCGGGAGGAGCGGAAAGGGCGTGAGGAGAAGCGGGAGGGCGGGAAGGGCGGCGGCGGGGTGGTGGTGGGGGGACCGTCCGCTGGCGGCGCGCTGAACGTGATGCCGCAATCTGGGGAATACACCAAGGAGAAACTCGCGGAATTGGCGGTATGCACACTCCTCGCCTCCCCCTCCCCCTCTCCTCCCCCCCTCCTCCCCCCCGGTCCAGTGGATTTCTGCATGAGTTGCTGCCTGCCTGCATGCATGAGCCGCCACTGACCCTCAGTTCATTTCTGTCGTCTTATTGGGACAATCGCACATTGCATCTCCTTGCCCCTCCCCCGTCTCCTTCCTCCATCTCCATCCCACTCCTCTCAGTACCCCACTGTGTTCTGGTTGCTCCCTCCACCTTCCCCTTCTCTCCCCCCCTCCACCTTCCCCCCCTTCCCCCCACCACCCCCGCCACCCCCGCCACCCCCGCCACCCCCGCCACCCCTCCCAACAGCGCAACACCATGCGCATTGCAGCGCCTTCGTCCGCCTCCAGGCGCACCCCCCCTCCCCCTTCCGCCTCTATCGCTGCAGCAGGCGCAGCCCTCTCCACCTCCGCGGCCCCCTCCTCCACTGTCACCCCGCCCTCCCTCTCCGAACCTCTCATCGTGCTTCGGGGATCGCTCAAACCCGCAGGCTCAGCAGCCGCCGAAGCAGAGGCCGGAGCTAGCGGTTCCGGTGCATCAGGTTCGGCAGGTGCTGCAGCAGGAATGGGAGGATTGGGAGGTTTGGGAGGAGGCCTAGGAACAAGCTTAAGAAAGGCAGGGGGTAGTTATATTGGCGGTACTTTTATCCCAGACGCTGCTGCTATAGCAGCGGCAAAGGCAAAGAGAGAGAGATTAAGACAGGCCAAAGCAGCACCAGATTTTATCCCCCTTCCAGGGTCTGATAGATCTGATATGGCCGGGCTAGGGAGTATGAGGGGGGTGGAAGACGAGATGGGGGAGGAGGAGGGGGAGAAAGGGAAGGGGGAGCAGTCGAGTGAAGATGAGGAGGAGGCTTTGGGGGGAAGAGTGGCGCTAGGGGGGGTGTTGGGGGGGGATAGGGGGAGTGGGCGGGGGAGGGGAGGGAAGGGGAGGGGAGGGAGTGGAGAGGTGAACGGGGAGCGGAGAGGGCGGGGGATGCGGGAGGAGGAGGATGGAGAGGAGGAGGAGGAGAGGGAGAAAGAGGCAGAGGAGGATGAGGAGGAGAGGAGGTGGGAGGAGGAGCAGTTGCGCAAGGGAGTGGGTCGAATGGTGTCAGTGCCAGGAGCTACAGGGGGGAAGGACGGGGGATTGGGGGCAAAAACTGGGGGGGAGAAAGGGGGCGGTGTGGGGGGAATGGGGGAAGGGGGAGTGGAGGGAGGGCGGAGTGCAAGGGAGGTGTTTTCAGGGGGGATGAGGGCAGGCGCGTGGGGATATGGGGGGGCAGCGGGGGGCGCAGGGGGGATGGGAGGTGCAGGGTCGATAGTAGCGGAAGGGGATGAAGTGATGAAGTTCCTGAGAGAGGGCCTTGCGAGACTGCAGGTGCGTGCTCTTAATGAATGGGCTCTAAACGAATGTGATATAGCCAGCTCGCTATCCGCATTCTACCTATTTCTCCACACCGTTCAGCTTCAGCACCACACTTTACATTGCAACGCTTCTCACCATGCTGCACCACACTCTCCACAGCTCCACGCCTTTCAGCACCACTCCCTCCACTGCTCCAGACCGTGCTTCACCGTTTACCACTGCCAATCACCCTACACCACTCTACTCCCACTCCACCCCTTCCCTCCCTCCCTCTCCAGGCCTCACAATCCAAGGCTGAGCGGGAGGCTCGGGAGGCGGAGGATCGGCTGGTGGCGGCGGCAGAGGAGGTGTTGGAGCTGGAGAGGGCGATGAAGGGCGCTGAGAGCAAGTACCGCTTCGTGCAGGACCTCAGGCAATACATCGCCGTGTTGTGCGATTTCCTCAAGGTGAGTTGAGGCTCACTACTGGTCAAGTCACTTCTGGGGGCGCTATACGTGGCTGTGCTGTGTGACTTTCTCAAGGTGAGTCCTGGGCTGGCTTCGTGCATGTGAGGCGGAGGATCGGCTGGTGGCGGCGGCAGAGGGGGTGTTGGAGTTGGAGAGGGCGATGAAGGGCGTTGAGAGCAAGTACTGCTTCGTGCAGGACCTTCGGCAATACGTCGCCGTGCTCTGCGACTTCCTGAAAGTGAGCTGCCTCAGAATAAGCTCTGTGACTTCCTCAAGGCGAAGCTGGCTCCTCCTGGTGGCTTCTGGGGGCGCTGAGAGCAAGTACCGATTCGTGCAGGACCTGCGGCAATACGTGGCCATGCTGTGTGACTTCCTCAAGGTGAGGTTGGTTGGCTCCTTCTGGCTTCTGACAGCTCTGAGAGCAGCTTCGTGCAGGGCATGCCGTAGCACGTCGTTGTGCTTTATGACTTCTGCGATTGTAAGTTTCGATTCGAGGGCACTGCGGGGCAGTAAGGAGTTAAGTAGGTTAGTCCTTGAATGCACTCCCTCGAAAGCCCTCCTCCTCCCCGTCTCCCTTGTCACATCAGGGCTGTCTCGGTCTCGCTTGTCACATCAGGGCAACGCGAGAGGAGTCGCTGCAGCATTAGCTGCCGTAGAGTGGTGATTCACATGTCACGTCCTTAGATATACACACCTCGAGCTGTGTATGGCCCTGACTATTTCACTATCTTTCCTCCCCCCCCTCTCTCATCAGGACAAGGCGGCATTGATAGAGGAGCTTGAGGAGTCGCTGCAGCAGCTGCTTGAATGCGCCACCCTCTTAACTAAGACTCGTCACTCTCTTTTGGAGTGACTTTTGAGAATTCTCAAAAGTCCCTCTTAACTAAGACTCGTCACTCCCTTTTGGAGTGACTTTTGAGAATTCTCAAAAGTCCCTCTTAACTAAGACTCGTCACTCCCTTTTCCCCTTTTCCTGCTGTCTCACATCAGGACAAAGCGGCGCTGATAGAGGAGTTGGAGGAGTCGCTGCAGCAGCTGCAGGAGGAGCGTGCCAACGCAGCATTCAACCGTCGACGCGCTGACCTGGTGGATGAGCTGGCGCAAGCAGAGGCTGCCACGTCAGCGGCAGCAGCAGCGATGGCACAAGGTGCCGGGACGGTGACGGCAGCGGCAGCGGCGGCAGCAGCGGCGGAGGCGGTGGTGGAAGGGGGAGGGGCGGCGGGAGGGCGGGTGGAGTTAGATGAGTTTGGAAGAGACGTGAACCTGCAGAAGCGGTGAGAGCTCTGTGGGAAGTTACGGTTTAGTTTGGAAAGGATGGTGGGTATAAGTTGAGTGTGCTAGTGGTGGAGTATGGATGGAGGAGCTTGTTTCTTCTTTTGTTGCGGGTGAGTTATTGGTCCCCTACACAGTAACAGTAACAGCCTAACAAGTTTGATTCGCGGCGGCCACTCCCTCCCTTTCCCCCTGCTGCCGTCCCCGTCCCTCGTCATCCAGCCCCTTGCACGTACCCAAAACTCCTCGTAAACCTTACAACCTGGAGCCCATCCTTACAAACCTCTTTAAACCCCAACTCTGAACCCCGTCCTTCCACGGCGTGTGCAGGTTGGAGTTCCAGAGGCGAGTGGCAGCGCGGGAGCGACGGCACGCCAAGGCTGAGGCCAGGAGGGCTGGGCGGGGCGAAGCAGAAGGGGGGGGAGGAGGTGGAGGAGGTGGTGTGGGGAGGGTGGAGGGGGAGTGGAGCAGTGATGAGAGTGATGATGAGAGGAGTGCGTACAGCTCTGGCAGGCAGGAAATACTCACTGCTGCTGGTGAGCTCCCACTACCTTTCCCCTTTTGAGACATCTCAAAACTGGAGAGTGCAGGAAATACTCACTGCAGCTGGTGAGCAACCTCCCTCCCTTTTCCGCGCATCCTACATGCTTGTTCAGATGCTGTTGCTAGATTGCCCCTGGTCATTCTTATGAGCCTACTTAAGCTACTCTGAGATGTATGTCGCTGCAAACCTGTTTTGTGCGCCGTCGAGTCAAATCAAATCAAATCAACATCATGGGTGTCGAGCAGCATCAGCCTCCTGCTGATGTGTGATTTTTGTTCTTCTGACTGGCAGGCACTGCACCCTGGCTCCCTGGCTCCCTCCCTCTCCCTGCTCCCTTCTTTCTCGCATTCGTTTTCCTCCTCCTCGTTTTCCCCTGCTTTCGCCTATCCCACCCGACCATCTCTCTGCCCTCTCCCTCCACCACTCCTCCCCTCCTCCCCTGCTGCCTCCCCCCCAGATGCGGTGTTTGCGGATGCAGCAGAGGAGTACAGCAGGATAGAGCGAGTGAAGGAGCGCATGGAGCGTTGGAAGCAGCAGCAGCACCCTAAACCCCTTGGTCTGCCAGCAACCGATTCCACGCTCTCCATCCCTCCTCGAACCCTTCTGCTTCCCCCCAAGATGCGGTGTTTGCAGATGCAGCAGAGGAGTACAGCAGGATAGAGCGAGTGAAGGAGGGCATGGAAGCACCACTACCCTAAACCCCTTGACCCACCAGCAAGCAAGCCAATTCCTCCTTCTCCACCCGTCCTCAAACCCCTCCTCAACCCCTGCAGATGCAGTGTTTGCGGATGCAGCAGAGGAGTACAGCAGGATAGAGCGAGTGAAGGAGCGCATGGAGCGGTGGAAGCAGCAGCACCCCTCCGCCTACCGAGACGCCTATGCCAGCATGTCAGCGCCGGCCCTCTTTGCTCCCTTTGTGCGCCTGGAGCTGCTCCGATGGGACCCGTTGTTTGGGGGAGGTGCCTTTGACTCCATGCACTGGTGAGTCAGTGAGTCGGTCAGAGAGTGATTGAACCCGCGTGCTGATTGTTCTCTCTTCGCTGGCCCTCTTTGCTCCGGTGGTGCGCCTGGAGCTGCTCCGATGGGACCCCTTCTTTGGGGGAGGCGCCTTTGACTCCATGCACTGGTGAGTGTGTTACATTGCCAGCTTCTGATAGCCGTTTTTCATATCCTTTTTCCACTACTTTCCTCCAACCGACTGCTGGTTTGATATGCCTCGTAATTAGTTCCACTGTCTCCTCTGCTCCTCCGCCCCACCCACCCCCACCCCCCACCTGATACTCAATCCTCTGTGACTACGGCCTCCCAACCGACGGGTTCAGAACTCAAAACATCTTAGAGCTCACCACCCATCACCCACCACAACCACCCTTCACCTCCCTCCATCCCGCCCAACCAGGTACTCTGTCCTCTTTGACTATGGCCTCCCAACCGACGGCTCCGAGCCTGCCCCGGACGACCCGGACACGAACCTGGTGCCGAGGCTCGTGGAGAAGGTGGGGCTGCCGATCCTGCACCACGCGCTGCAGCACTGCTGGGACCCGCTGGACCGCGCCGCGACCAACCGTGCGGTGACAGCTGTGGAGGAGGTGCTGGTGTATGTGGAGGCGGGGGCTCCCGCAGTGGTGGAGATGGTGAAGGCCGTGGAGGGGCGGATTGAAAATGCCGTTGGGGAAATTCAGGTGAGTTTATGGCCTTTTTTTTTTTTTCCGAAAGAGTGGCATGGCAAACGCTGGGAGGGAGGGGTGTGCGTACGAAAGCTGTGGAGGGGTTGCTGGTGTGTGTGTCTTTGAGTGGACAAAAGCACCCTTCTTAAGGAGAAGAACCACATGTGGCCTTGGTGTGGTGTGGAGGAGGTGCTGGTGTATGTGGAGGCGGGGGGCCCTCGCGGTGGTGGAGATGATGACGGCGGTAGAGAGGCAGATTGAGAGTGCTGTTGGAGAGATGCAGGTGAGTTGGTGGCTGAAATGCTTTTGAATGTACGAGTGGCATGGCAAGCTGTGAGTGGGGGAGGGGAGAGGGAGGGGTGTGCGACGACAGCTCCTATGTTTGATGGTGTGTTTTTGAATCGACAGCCCGTTTCAGAAACCACATGTGGCCGTGGTGTGGAGGAGGTGCTGGTGTATGTGGAGGCAGGGGCACCTGCGGTGGTGGAGATGGTGAAGGCCGTGGAGGGGCGGATGGAGGGGGCTGTTGCTGAGATGCAGGTGATGCGGTGGCTGAAATGCTCGTTTTTGTACGAGTGACATGGCAAGCTGTGAGGGAGGGAGAGGGGAGGGAGGTGGGACAGCTGTGGTGGGATTGATGGTGCGTCTCTGAGTCGACAGAAGAACTCTTGTCGAAAACCGCATGTGGCCATGGTGTCGAGGAGGTGCTGTTGTTGAACTTTGAACAACCCCTTTCTTCCCCTCCTTCCGTCCCCTCCTTCCGTCCCCTCCTTCCGTCCCCTCCTTCCGTCCCCTCCTTCCGTCCCCTCCTTCCGTCCCCTTCTTCCGTCCCCTCCTTCCGTCCCCTTCTTCCGTCTTCTACTTCCCTCCTCCCCAACCCCCTTGCCACTGTTCGCGTGGTATTAGCGTGGCCACCGCCCATACTGGCTGAACACCGGCCCGCAAACAGTTGTTCCTTTGAAATTCTAAACACTTCTTTTCTTCCCCTTCTTCCTTCCCCTTCTTCCGTCTTCCTCTTCCCTCCTCCGTATCACCCGCCTCCTCCCCCGTTACTGCTCGCAGCTACCAGCGTGGCCGCCCCCCATACTCGCTGCCTGCCCCTCCGCTGCTCGATTCGCAGCTCAGAGATTCGGGCACGCGCTGCGCCTCATTTACAACCTGGGAAGGTGGGTTCTATTCATACCAAAGTGCGCTCGGATCAAAGGTGGCAGGTCAGGAGATGGTTGCGGAGAGCCCTTGCGTGCATCGACTCGGAGGCACCTCCAGAGATTTGGGCAGGCGCTGCGCCTCATCCGCAACTTGGGCAGGTGTGTTCACTGCCTAACTGCGTGCAATGCAAGACTGGCAGGTACCAGGAAATGGCTGTGGAGGGTAAGAGCGTCTGAAGCACCTCCAGAGGTTGGCGCTGCGCCTCATTCACAACCTGGGCATGTGGGTTCAAGAGCGTTCGATCGAAGTGGGCAGATATCAGGAGATGCTTGAGAGACACTTCAGGAGGAAGCGGCAGAGGAGAATAACATGGTGAATGTGGGGAAAGGGCGAGGGGCGAGAGGGAGGGCATGGTGCCGGCCGCAGGTGCAGTGATGGAGAAGTTGTCGGCCTTCCGTGGTTGGCTCAAGTGATGATTCTGAGGAGCTGTTCTGAGGAACATGGTCCGTCCTCCCGTGGTCGGCATGTTCCTCAGAATCATCACTTGAGCCAACCATGAGAGGCTGGACAACTCCTCCATTATTGCACCCACGGCCAGCACCATGCCCTACTTCTCGCCCTTTGCCCTTTCCCCACACCCACCATGTTCTTCCTATTCCTCTCCTCTGCCGCTTTCCTCTGCAGCACCAGCATCACCTCCACCTGGATCACCTTGTTCTTTTCAAAACCCCTTTGTAGAAGGCATGTGACACTTGTTTTTTCTATCTCTCATCTGCAGCCTCTCTGCACCAGATCTGTAACATGGGGGAATCTCCAGGCAGTGAGACATGGTGTCTCTCAGATGCTTGTGGAGTTTCTGAGAAAGTTTAAGGAACAAGACGTCTCCAAATCTCCCTTTTATCACGTGTCTCTCAGATGCTTGTGGCTACACCGGCTGGACCGACTCGTGCTGTGCTCGATCTTCTCTAACATAGGGGGGATGGGGATGTGACAGACTGTGTGTTCCTGAATTTTGAGGCGCCTCAAATTTCCAAGGAATACACCACCCCAATCCCATCTCCCCTCCTCACCTCCATCCCCACCTCCCCCTCCAACCCTTTCCTTCTCGAAATTCCAAGGAATACACCACCCCAATCCCATCTCCCCTCCTCACCTCCATCCCCACCTCCCCCTCCAACCCTTTCCTTCTCCCCTCCACCTCCACCCCAACTCTCCCATTCACGCCACCAGGATGCGAGACGTGGTGTCTCAGCAGCTCCTAGATCGACTCGTGCTGCAGTCTCTCCTGGCCAATCAGCTGCTGCCACATCTGCGCGCCCTCGCCCCCGCGCTGCACGACGCTGTTCCCCGTACAGAGCGACTCGTTTGTGTGCTGTGTGACGGCAAGTGGGCCGGCACGGGCAGCGGCAGTGCCTTGCCTCCTTCTGCTGAACCCAGGAACAGGTGAGCTGTCTGCTCGAGTTGTACCTTATATAGAGTGATTAGGTTAGGTAAGGCTACTGCACAACACTCGTTTGTGTGTTGTGCATCTGCAAGTTACTGGCAGCAGTATCGCCTTGCCCCCTTTTGCAAAACCCAGGAACAGTAAGCTGGCCTGGCTGCTCAAGGTAAGGTTACTGCACAGCACAGCACAGCACAGCACTCGCATTGCCCCCTTTTGATAAACCCATTTAGAGTGACACGTTAAGGTTACTGCACAGCACTCGTTTGTGTGCTGTGACGGCAAGTGGGTGAGCACTGGCAGCAGCAGTACCCTCCCTCCCTAAACCAGACCTGAGGTAGAAATGGAAGCACCTACGTGCAGCATGCCAAGCTGGTACCTCTTGTTTTCTCGTATGCTTCTCTGCATTGTGATCTCACTCTGCATGTGAGTGTTGCTGATGCATGTGCATCAATCTTCCCACTAGTTGCATGTGCTCTCACCGAACGCTCTCACTTGTTTCTCATCATCGTTCATGCTTGCGCCTTCTTGTGTTTCAACCAAAAACATTGAACCCGAAAACCCTCACAGTCCTAGGTCTCCTCTATCACTGCTGGTGGCTTATATCGAAACGCTGGGTCGGTCTGTAGAGAGTCGGAGTGCTGTGGAGGGGCAGAGGGAGGAGTGTGTGGGGCTGGCGAGGCGGCTGAAGCGCATGCTGGTGCAGATGGAGGAAATGGATAAGGCCAGGGCGCTTGGCAAGGTGTTTGGTATCAAAGAGGCCCTGTAGCTTCGAATTTTGTGGAGGGGCAGAGGGAGGAGTATGTGGAGCTGGCAAGGAGGCTGAAAGGCATGCTGGTGCAGATGGAGGAATAGGACAAGGCCAAGGCGCTCGGCAAGGTGTTCGGCATCAAAGAGGCAGTGTAGTGTGCTGTGTTCTTGATACTAAGAGCGTATTCCTATCCTCGTATCAAGAGAACCTCATATCATCTTCCCACTGAAAATTCCCCTAAACCCAAAACCTCTCGCTAGTTTTACCAGGCAACAAGTACAATCTTGATATGAGGTTCTCTTGATACGAGGATAGGAATACGCTCTATTGTCGTATATGTTACAATCAAATTCTTCACTCTTCTGGAAAAGGTTGGGAAACATTATCAGAAAATGCTCTATCACCCGTCACCGATAACAATTCTCGGGGCTTATCCTGTGGGGACGGAGCAAGGTACAGTTTCTAGTCAAATACTAATGCATGTATGCTGGATTTTGAGCCTGCGAAGTTTAACAGGTGTACATAATCCGAAGCGCGGGTCTCCCTATACCTGGAGCTGGTTGTTCAACGAACCTTGCCAACAAGAAAAATCGTGGCGAAATTCGTTCATCGCCGACATTGGTCTGACACCCTTGGGATTGGTGTGGTGTCGGGCCAACGGCTACCTCCTTTCACACGTGGTTTTCCAACTTCGAACTGACACATGTTCTCCAAACACGAAATTTGCGAAGTCGATCGGCGTCGCCAATGCATAGCTGAATCGTCAAACACCAGAAAAGTCAGCTGAGCACGGTTACCCTTCACGATCTGCGGTGTAACAGACAGAATTCGTCGTTCGGGCTCAGTTCGTGAGGGTAGGAACGGCCTCGTTAACGTTTCCCCAAGGTCTCGGTTCGCTCGGGTTCACTTCCGAACAATCAGGTTCTTTAGAATACTGTACTGCGTCATAATTCCATTTCTTCTACACCTCCTCGGGATTCCCTTCGTTGCTTTCAAGTCACGCTCCGTGAGCGTGACAGTGGCCTTCGAGTTAATATCCGTCAGACTTTGTATGATTAGCAGTTTTACCTGAAACCACGACATAGAGTTGTATGTATTGGAGTTTTAAGCTGCTACGTGCTGTATTGGGGCGTTTCGCCCCTTCCAGCTAGCGTCATGTGTCGGCTGATGGTGTATTTAGGCACGCCATGCCTACTAGCCGACTTGGTTACCAAACCGTCTAGATCGCTAACGCGTCAGTCTTACGACGCTAAGGAACGTTTAACGGGTCATGGATACCTTAACGGGGACGGATTTGGGATCGGGTGGTACTCACCCGAAGGCCAAGGTCCTTTAGCGATCGAGGATCCGACGCCTTGCGTTTTCTCATCCATTCAGCCAGCCTGGAACAATGGTAACCTCAAGCGGTTGGCGAATAAGATCATTTCGCCACTCATCTTCGCTCACGTTCGCGCGGCGTATCCGGGAATCCCCGTCAATGACTCCAACTGCCAGGTCCGATGATGCCGTGTTACGTCCGTCAGGGATCTGATCCGTTTCTCCCTCACTGCTTGCAAGGAAGTGACGTTGTTCACCTCGTTAACGAAACCCGTTCGAACGTTGGATGATGGGAAACGTTCTTAGTTGTCTGGGGTATGAATGCGTGGTTGGTTGGAATTGGAAGCAACCGAATCTGCCTCTACCTCCTCATGCTTTTCCACTGCCTTGCTCTGCGCAGTCGTTGATGCGTCCTCCATGCACCTCAGAAATCGTAGTCCTTGCTGTCTCTCCTGTGCCATGCCGGCAGGACATACAAACGTCTCCTTTCTTCTACAATGTTTAAGGCGTTTAACGAATGATTGTGAGAATGTCTTCCTTTTCGATGATTACCTTCTCTTTCCTCCCTCCATCTGTCGTGTTCACCCTGTGGCATGTCTGCACACACAACGACCAGGGTAATAGCATTTCACAACGTGATTATTTGGGTGTTGGACTCTAATTTACCCCACGTCCCCCTATGTCCTCCTTCCGTCTCTCAGCCTGCATGTCCATCCTGTGGTTCCTCTGGATGCACAAGGAAGGGATCAGGGGCTTCCACAACGTGCCTACAAAAGTGCTTCCCTATCCCTTCCACGTCCTCCAGCCGTTCGTGTGCGGGCGGTACATATGGATGCACAACGGCGGGGTGGGAGGGTTCCACAAGGTGCGGAGAAAGCTGCTGGAGTCGCTGCGGGACGACGTGTACCAGCAGTGCCCCTCCTTCGAGTCTGATTCAGCCATCTGCTTTGCTCTCTTCCTCAACCAGATCCAAGACCCCATGCAGCAGCTCGCTCCAGGTATCCGTTTGTTCATCTTTGTTTTGCTTTGTCCAGCTGCTCGCGCCACGGGTTTCAGAGGATCTTCCTAAATTTTCGTGGCTGGAATCATGACGACTCGTTTACACGTCTCATCGTCTTCGCGGAACCAAACTCAGCTTCATGCGTCAATTCATATGCATAACATCTCCTTGACCTCCCATCGGTGCAGAGGAGCTGGTGGTTCGGATGGAGGCGACGGTGGACGAGGTGAACGAAGCGCAGCCTCATACATGCATGTGTGTGCATTGTGACTTGACCTCCCATTGTGCCTGCCGTGCACGCAGAGGAGCTAGTGCCTCGGATGGAGGCGACGACCAATGAGGTGAACCAAGCGCAGCCTCATACACACATGTGTGTGCATTGTGTTGTGACCTCCCATCTTGTCTGCTGCTGTGCATGCAGAGGAGCTGGTGGCAAAGATGGAGGCGACGATCAACGAGGTGAACCAGCTGTGTGGCGAGGCAGGGGTGGCAGACGAGCTCTCTCTGCTCAACTTCGTTGTTTCCGACGGCCGCACGGTGGTGGCCACCAAGTGAGTTTACTTCATTGCTTCCATTAGCTCACTTTACTTTACTCTGCTCAACTTCGTTGTCTCCGACGGCCGCACGGTGGTTGCCACCAAGTGAGTTTACTCCCATGGTCATTTGTCGGAGAACACCTTTCCTCTGGCACCTGCTCCTCTTCCTGCTTCCATTCTTCTTTCTTTCCTTGCATGTGATGTTTCACCTCAGCCACTCCCATGAAGAAGTTCCCTCCCTCACCCCGTAGGTTCCCTCCTAGTGGCGTGCTGCTGGATGTAGGATCTAGAGCAACTGATTTCACTATGACGAGAGAATAACAAGCGAAAAGCATGGACTGGATGTTCCTGACTGAACTTACCTTGCCCAGGCTCAAGTCGCACATTTCACAATGTGCGGCTCGAGTTTGGGCTGGTCCTCCCTGATTGGTTCAATGCATTTCGCCCCTCGGTCCTTTCCCTCCCATTCCTAACGTCAAATTCGTCCTCCCCCTACTCAACCTCAACTTCCATTCCAACATTCGCTACTCCACAATCTACACCCGCGCAACACTGTCATCCCATATGCACAAAGTGCATATTTGGTGACACATTGCCACCAGACGAGCTCTCTCTGCTCAACTTCGTTGTTTCCGACGGCCGCACCGTCGTTGCCACCAAGTGAGTTCAGTTTGGTGCTGGCCACCCAGTGAGTTTAATTCAGTGCTGGTGATTCATTATGTTCATTAACTAGTTCGCTGGTTGCCACCGCACCGATTGAGGTCAGTCCTTCCTTCTCTTCTCTCCCTCCTCTGCTGCAGACACCGAAGAAGGAGTGCGTAGCGCTGCATGGAGTGTTTGGAGAAGGGGCGTACATACCTCTGCTTTTCATGCCATATTCCCCCCTCCTTCTCCTTCCGCCCTCCCACCCGGCAGGTACTGCAATCTGCCCCACGAGGAGTGTGCGACGCTGTACTACGCGAGTGGCAGCCGGTTTGAGGCGCTGGACGGCAGCAGCAATGATTACTTGGTGCGCCACGCCGACCGCCGCGGGCTGCTGGGGATCGTGGCCAGTGAGCCGCTCACTGATGAGAGCGCGGACTGGATTCAGGTAAGAGGAGTGATGGGGGTGGGGGGAAGGGGGAAGAAATTCCAGCGAGCCGCTCACTGATGAGAGCGCTGACTGGATCCAGGTGAGGGAGAGGTGGGGGGAGGGGGCGGAGAAAGAGGGGACAGGGTGGGTGGATTGATGCTGGGGATTGTGGCCAGTGAGCCGCTCACTGATGAGAGCGCGGACTGGATCCAGGTGAGGAGAGATGGCGGGGTAAAGGGGGGTGATGGGGATAGTAATATAGGTTGTTTAAGTGAGCCGCTCACTGATGAGAGTGCGGACTGGATCCAAGTGAGAAGTGTTAGAGGGGAAAGGGGGGTAGATGAAGCTGGGCTGGCGGAGAGGGTGGGTGGGATCGTGGCCAGCGAGCCGCTCACGGATGAGATCGCTGACTGGATCGAGGTGAGGAGTAATGGGGCGCAAGGGTAGAGCTGCTCACGGATGAGAGTGCCAACGCATTCCTCTCCTCTCCTTTCTGTTCCTCTCCCCTTGCCCCTCAGCCCTCAGGTGCCGCGCAACACTGCGGTGGTGATGACGAGGTTCAAGGGCGAGTTCGTGGATGTGCTGCTTCTGAATCCCTGAACCCCCAACCCCTCTCCCCTTTAGGTCCCGCGCAACACAGCGGTGGTGATGACTCGGTTCAAGGGCGAGTTTGTGGATGTGCTGCTGGTGCCCATCAACCCGCCCCCCTCTGTGGCTCGCGACATCTCACGCGCCTTCAAGGCCCTCGCCAGCTGCCCACCCACCTCCCTCAAGGTCTCCCTCCGACGCCCCAGGCGAGCACAGGCCAGGAGGCGACGGGTGTCTGCTGAGGCTCAGCAGCAGCAGGTGGGGCAGTCTCCAGTTTCCAACACCTCATCTCAAGCAGCGTTCTCTGCTGCAACGACTCCTCCTCCTCTTCCTGCTGCTGCTTCTCCGGCTGCTGCTGCGGCTGGCAGTGGATCACCGGTGGTGCTACCAGCAGGAGGGGCGGCAGGAGGAGCGGGCAGCTGGAAGGAGGGTCTGCGAGACCTGGTCAGAGATCAGGACGGCAGGGCTGCCACGGGAGACGAGGAGGAGGAGGATGAGGACGATATTGATGGGGACGCAGAGACTTATGGGTATCCCAGCAGTCAGTCTTGGAATGGTGGCATTAGCGGCAACGGCACAAACAGCAGCAGCAGTGTCAGAAGCAGGAGGTATCCGCCCACCACAGTTCTCCCACCAGAGGGCATTCCTCTGACAGACAGGCCGCGGCACGCGATGGCGAAGCACCGGCAGCCGGTGCTGGCGCTGGCAGTGGATGGTAACCGCGTGTTTGCGGGGTCGCAGGACGGGCTGATCACGCTGTACGACCTGCGGGACTTCCGGTGCGTGTGCACGCTGGCGGGGCACAGCCAGACCATCTTCTCCCTCTCCGTGCACCACGACCGCCTCTACAGCTCCTCCACCCGCGTCGTCAAGATCTGGGACACCAAGACCTTCCGCCTCCTCTCCACTCTTCGATACTCCGATGGGGATGTCTTTGCCCTCGCCCTCGCGCTCGGCAGGTCCGTCGCCGGCCCTGCAGGCACCTCCATCGTTCGTTGCACCAGGGCGTCAGCTGCTGCTGCAGCAGCCGTTGCTAAGGGGAATGGGGAGGGGCAGGGGGGTGGGCAGAAGCAGTTGAAGCATCTGCACAGCTTGCAGCATTTCGTGATCCCCTCAGGTTCCTCCTTTCCCGATGCCTCGGCCGTGCTGGACGCTTCTGTGTCACAACCACCTGGCTCTACTGCTGCTGCTGGTGCTGCTGCTTCTGCTGCTGCTTCGTCTGCTGGTGCATTCTCTCCTTCGCCTGCGGCAGCGAATCACAGGTCGCCAGCTGCCATGGCAGCGGCGGCGGCTGCTGCAGCTGCAGTGGCAGCAGGAGGGGAGGGTGCAGTTTCTTCCACTGGTCGCAGTACGTCACAGATAAAAGACCCTCAGTTATCAGCCAGTGGAGGAAACAGCAACAGCAGCATCAGCACTGAAACAGCGTCAGGGGGAGGAAGAGTGGCAGCAGCAGCAGCAGCAGCAGCAGCAGGGGCAGCAGGTGGGTCTATGTGGGAATCACTCTCTTCTGAAGAAACCCTTTGGCCCCAGGCTTCAGCACTTGCTACCCAACCTCGCGGTGCTGGGACTGCTGTTGCCGTCACTGCTGCTGCTCCTGTTGCCATACCTCAGGCTCGAGCCCGAAGCAAAGGCCCAGGCTCAGGTCTGGACGGTGGTTCTACAGCAGTGGGGTCTGGTGGGCATGTGGTTCGGGTTGGGTTCGGAGATCTCGCTCAGTCGCTCTCACCCGAAGCTCACTTATACAGCTACCTGGAAGGGGCGAGGTCTGGTGGAGGGTCGGCAGCAGGCTCGTTACGTGGCTCAGCAGGGAGGTCTGGAGGTTCGTATATGACAGTGGTAGGTGAGGGGGAGGAGGAGGAGGATGAGGAGGTTGGAGGGAGGAGGGGTACGGAAGGGAATGGTGGGAGTGGGGTGGGATCAGGTGGGTACTGTGATGGGCAGAGAGAGGAGGTGAGAGTGCAAGGGTGGCATCAGGAGGTGATTGGCAGGTTACCAGATAACCAGAATGTAGTTATGAACGGTCAGGTGAATGGTCAGGTGTTTAGTCAGGTGAATGGTCAGGTGAATGGCCTGCAGCCGCAGCTGCACGATGCACAGGCAGTAGAGCAGCAGGAGCAGCATCTACGAGGAGGGACGAAACCATGTGAAGGAGGAGGGCTGGGAGGTACAGCAGTGGGTGGTGGTTGCAGTGAAGCAGGCAGTGTGGGTGGTGGTGGTTGCGGAGGAGCAGGGGGGGGAGCAGGAGGAGGGGGAGGAGGTGTGGGAGGGGCAGGCGTTGGAATTGGTTGTGCGGCAGGAGGTGGGGGTGGGGTGCGCACGGTGTGTAATTCCACAGAGGCAGCGCTGGTGCTGACGGATTCGAACAAGAATGGCCACTGCAGCCGCGTCTATGCTCTGGCTGTAGCACACCCCCTCATCTGTAGCGGCGCTGGCGACACCTTTGTCAAGGTGGGTGCCGGGCCGGGCTGTCTTATGTGAGAGTTTTCAAAAGCGTTCGGGATTTCTCAAAAGCTGTGGCAACTCTGTCCCCAAAGCATGGATGCGGCATCACACTTTGTCCCAACCCTTGCCACCCACTCACGCACTCCACACTAACTTCCACTCACTCCGTCCCTTTTCTCCCTTGTCTTCAGCTCGTCCCATCTCATTCCCTTCCATTTGTGGTGGCTGGTTAGTGAAAGGCGAGTGGATGACAAAGCCGCACGAGAATCCTGTCGATTTGCTCTTCCAGCCTTGTCTCAACACCATTTAATATCTATCCCTCTTCCTCAACTTCAATCTCTCTTCCATCTTGTTGGCTCGCAGGTGTGGTCGCTGGTGACGGGCGAGTGGGTGGCAACGCTGCACGGCCACAAGGGGGGAGTCATGGCGCTCGCCACAGCCGATGCAGCAGCAGAATCTTCTCACGGCTCCGCCTCCTCTTCTGCCAACCCTCTCGGCCCTTCCAAGCCTCACCATGCGCCGCCGCACCGCGCCTCCAAGCCTCTGTGGCGCCTCTTCAGCGGTGCGTGTGCTTTCATATATTGTGCCCTGTGATTTTTTTAGGACGTGCGAAAGCCTACAGGCTGCTGCTCAGTCTATGGGCTGCTGCTGCCGCATGTCTGCAACCTGTCTGCTTGCACCACTGCTCACTCACGCATGTCCACCCCTGTGATCATTCGGCCATTGAGTGAAGGGACACACACATGCTGATCACTTCTGCTGGCCGATGCGGATCACTTTCCGATCCCCTTGTTCCTTTTGCCCTCGTGCTCATGTCCGCTTTCTCCCCAGGGTCACGGGACAACACGATTAGGGTGTGGGACCTCTCTTTTCTTTACTGATGCACCGCCATATTTCTCCTCCTGCCCTTGTTCCCCCCTCTCCAGGGTCAAGGGACAACACGATCAGGGTGTGGGACCTCTCATCTCTGCTCTGCATCACCACCCTCACCGGCCACACCGACGACGTTGTGGGGCTCGCCACCGGTACAGCGTTCAGTCGTTTTCCCTCCATTGTTATTCTCCCTCCCCTTCTCACCCACATTCACGAACGTCGCCATGGGGCTCACCACCAATACACTTATCATGCCCATTACCATCATTCCCCTTCTCGTTTTAATTCACCGACTACGTCGTGGGGCTCGCCACTGGTACTCTGGCCTCACCTTTTTCATCTTGTTCACAGCATTAACAGCAGTACCACCACCAACCCTAGAAACAGTCCCAACAGCAGATGCATGAGCTAGTGCAGCAACAGCGCGAGCTAGTGTAGCAGCAGCCAGTACTGTAGCAACAGCAGATCGAGCCAAGCTGCCAGACATTCATACTGATGATTATGGCAAAACTTATGCGCTTGTGGACTTGTCAAACAGCGGATACCTATGGGGGAGTTTCAGACGCAAGTGGAAGGGAGTACTTGGTCCGACATAACACGTGTGGTCCACACGAGCGAGCCGGCACTTATTGTAACCATAATGAGGATTATTTTTATGAGGCGGCACTTTCTAAGCAATGGGAGAATATGGTTTATACGAAGTAATAGATAAGTGATGATGAAGTGGTGGAATGAGATGAAACGTGCGAATTTGCAGTAAAGGGGGGTTAGGGTGCTAGCGGCAGATTCATGCCGGACGTTTAGACTTGTGTTCAAACTGCAAGGGTGCTGAAGCTGGTGGGTCTAAACAATATGGCGACTGCAAAGGCCGCAGCCGAAGGCAGCGGAAGCAGAAGCTGCAGCTGTGGCGGCAGAAGAAGCTGCAGCTGTATTAGAAGCAATGGCAGCCTTAAATTGCCAATTGCGGCTGCGGCTGCCATTGCTTCTGGTGCAGCTGCAGCTTCTTTTGCCGCCACAGCTGCAGCTTCTGCTTTTGCTGCGGCCTTTGCAGTCGCCAGATTGTAAGACCCGCCAGCTCCAGCGCCCTTGCAGTTTGAACTCGAGCCCAAACTCTCGGCAGGAATCTGCCGCTAGCACCCAATTCCCCCTTGGCTGCAAATCCGCACCCTTCAACTCATTCCACCACCTCGTCATCGCTTGTCTGTTGCTCCGTATAAACTCTATTTTCCCAGTATTTAGAACGTGCCGCACCATTGAAACCATCCTTGTCATGTTTCCAACAGGTACCGGCTTGTTCGTGTGGAGCACCGTGTTATGCCGGACCTACTCCCCTCCACCTGCGTTTGAAACTCCCCCGCAGGTATCTACTTTGAAAAGTTCACAAGTGCATAAATCTTGCCATAATCATCAATATGAATGCCTTGCAGCTTTGCTGGTTTTGCTATTGCTGCAGTAGTGGCTGCTGCTGCACTAGCTCGGGCTGTTGCTGCACTAGCTCGTGCAGCTACTGTTGGGGATAAATCTGGGATTGGTGCTGTTAATATGTACTTCTTGATCATACACTCATGCTCCTTTCAAAAATCTCTTACCTGATTATATATTACATCGCCGGCACTGCTAATGATGTTGGAAGTTCTTTACGTCCATCCCCACCCATCTGTCGCTTTGTCCATCCCATTTCCCTTCACTTGCCGCTCATGGTGCTGCAGGCCCTAACAACCGTCTCTTCAGTGCGTCAGTGGATCACACCATCAGGTACGCACCACTGCTCCTGCAATTTCCTGACTCTTTACTTTGCCTGCTTTTGTCTTGTATCCTCCCCTTCCTCTCCTCGGTTCACCACGCCCTCATGTTCTGACCCCCTGTACCCACACCCCACTCCCCACCCCACCCTCCCCCACACCAGAGTGTGGAGCATGGTGACATATGAGTGCGAGCGAGTGTTCCTCCAGGAGGGTTCCATCTTCCTCTCCATTGCATGCACGCCCACCGGGGTCGTCACCGGCTCCAGGTGGGTCAGAACAATAACCCTCTCTTCCTCTCTTCAAGGGTGGGCTGGGATCGTCACCGGTTCGAGGTGGGTTGGAGCAGGTGGCGTGTGGTTCAAGTAAGGCCAACTGTATAGCTGCCTGAGGGCTTGCATCACATTTCCTCTCACGTTCTCTCGAGACATAATCTCACCTGCCAAAGAAATGTACCCAGATTTCTCCTGAATTTCGATGTTTGTCTGACCGTGCAATGCGCTCCTCTCTACCCTTACTTTCTTTTTTCTGTCACGTCATGCTCCCCTTCACTGGCCTCCCCCTTTCACCGTCCTCACAGTGACGGTGTAGTGCGGTACTGGGAGGTGGACTCTGCCAGCGTGGACCAATCACAGTCCGCCACGGAGGACAGCAAGGGGCTCCCCACCGCCTCTCACTCGCACCACCTCCCGCATTCCACTCCAAGCTTCAAGCTCCAGGTACCACCTCCTCCACTTCTTGCCAACCTAAAGCTTCAGGTACCACCTCCATCACTCCACACCAAGATTCAGTCTCAAGGTGCCACCCCCTCGCTTAGACATGGTAACGGGCCGACTTGTCCTGACTCAGGTCGGCCCAGCCCGACCCAGGTCGGCCCAGCCCGACCCAGCCCGACACAGGCCAACCCAGCCCGACACAGGCCGACCTGAGCCGAGTATGGGTTGTGTCGGGTCAACCCGACCTCAGCCCACATCCCACCACAGGTTTGTGACCCGCCCCGTTCGGGCCACATGCTCATGATTCATGCCTATCCCCACGTGTCATGTGATTCATGAGTGCTGCCCCCACTCTGAGATCTCTAGTTCGCACTCACGTCTGACCCAGTCTGAGCAGCGTCCGATGGGGCCTGGCTGCCCATAAAAGCCCCCTCTCATGTTTCTATGTGTGTCTCCGTGCACAATGTATGTCTGTGCATGTGTGCATGGCAGAACGAGTCAGTGGCGGCGGAGCAGAGGCTGATGGAGGACACACTGAGGCAGCTGGTGCGCATGAGGACCGTCAGCACATGCACCTCGCGCCTCGCTGCACAGGAGGTGAGTGAGAGGCATCCGCTTGAACCCCTAGAGCCCAAATGTGCTGCCATGAGTATCCCCATGAACCACCAAATCTGGTCGTGAAGACTGTCAGTTCATGCGCCTCGCTCCGCGCTGCACAGGTGAGGCTCTTCACGTTGAGGCTGTGTGTTCACTTTGTGGGTAAAGAGAGAGGGGGGGAGGTTTGAGTAAGAGGCTCTGCCTTATGGGGTATGACCTTGTGTTGCTCTCTGTGTCATCACCCTGCCGGCCATCCATCTCCGCTTCCTCGTTGCCGATGTGGCAAACGGCCAACGTGGTGACACGGTTGCTGCACTCTCGTTGCTCCTCACTTCTCTCCTCCTCCCCTCCCCCCACCTTCTTCCCAGATGTGGTGGGCAGCCAATGTGGTGATGGGGTTGCTGGAGGACATAGGGGCGGATGTCAGATGAGAGGGTCCTATGGGGTATGACCCTGTGTCATCACCCTGCCATCCAAACCCCCCCACACCACTCCCCCCATGGCAGATGTGGAGGGCGGCCAATGTGGTGATGGGGTTGCTGGAGGACATAGGGGCGGATGTCAGATGAGAGGGTCCTATGGGGTATGACCCTGTGTCATCACCCTGCCATCCAAACCCCCCCACACCACTCCCCCCATGGCAGATGTGGAGGGCGGCCAATGTGGTGATGGGGTTGCTGGAGGACATAGGGGCGGATGTCAGATGAGAGGGTCCTATGGGGTATGACCCTGTGTCATCACCCTGCCATCCAAACCCCCCCACACCACTCCCCCCATGGCAGATGTGGAGGGCGGCCAATGTGGTGATGGGGTTGCTGGAGGACATAGGGGCTGCAGGTTGGGGTGTGAGCTTGTATTCACTTGTGTTCCTGCACCCTCTCCCCTCTCCCTCCCCCTCCCCTCTCTCCCTTCGTGGCAGATGTGGAGGGCGGCAAACGTTGTGATGGGGCTGCTGGAGGACATAGGGGCGGAGGCAAAGCTGGTGGTGGCGGTGGATGGGACCAGCCCTGTTGTGTTCGGCCGCATCGTGCAGGTGTGGTTTGGTTGGCTTTACTTTGCAGATGCGGGTTTGATGTGACATGAGGCCGCATTATGCAGGTGTGCTGTACTTGGCCGCATCATGCACGCGCATGTGGATGTGCTGTAAGCTGAAGTCGTTTCAGGCTGTGGTCCTGGATTCCTCCCTGCCATTCCTCATATCCCCAGCCACCGCACAAGGCTCAACATGTGGGCCTTATGACGCCTTATGGCGTGGGCACCTCACAGCGTGCAGTGTGCACATGGGGCCGATTCTCCCACCCCTCTGACAAAAAGGAACATGCCTTCTCCATGATGCATTAAGAATGGGCACCTCACAGTGTGCACATGGGGCCGACTCTCCCACTCCTCATTGGAGTCAGTCATTGAGATTAAAATAAAAACGTATATGGTGCTCGCTCACCCTCCCACTCCTCCTCCCTGCTAACCGCCCTCTTCCCTCCCTTTCCTCAGGACCCCAGCCGTCTCACGATGCGATGTGCATATGCGGGCATTAAGATGTCTTGGGATGGCTGCTCCTCCCACTCCCGCTTTTCCTTCTTCCACAAACCCCCCTTCGGTTCCGCAGGACCCCAGTCGTCTCACCGTCTGCATATGCGGGCATTACGATGTCACGGGTGCAGGCGATGTGGATGGTTGGATGAGCGACCCCTTCGATCTGACGGCTCAGGATGGCTTTCTCATTGGGCGAGGGGTGTCCAGCAGCAAGGGCCCGCTGATTGCCTCCCTCTTTGCCATCAAGGTGCGCCGTCGCTGCTGCTGCTGCTGCTGCTGCTGAAGCTGGTGGGATCACAGTAGAGCGATGAATGTGGCAATAGAAGAATGGGACATGCGTCTGTAGGAGCGTTTCAACGCATGGTTCGGCACTCTTGTGTGCTGAGCGGAGGCCTTTGAGGCCTCTGAGTGGTCTTCACCTTTGAGAATTCTCACAAGTGATTCTTTTGTCTGTAAGAGCATTTCAAGGCATGGTTTCGCACTCTTGTGTGCCGAGCCGAGGCCAGAGTCACCGAATGGTCTTCACCATCAAGCCCCCTCTGCTTGCCTCGCCCTTTCCTCAGATCAGACCTCTCAACTCGTTCCATATCTGTCCTCGTTTTGAGCTGCCTCAATATCAGCCTGCTTTTCTGCTCAATACCTTCCCTCCTTTCCTTCCCATCCATCATTTTGTTGCCTCACCATGCTGGCAGGATCTGGTGTGCTGATCTCACAGACTCACACACAGAAATATTGCTTTCCCCTCAATACTCATCCCTTGCATCATGCTGGCAGGATCTGGTGTGTTGGGGCGAGCTGGCAATCAACATTGTGTTTGTGATCGATGGCATGCAGGAGAACGGGTGCAAGGTGAGTGGGGTGTGGTGCAAGGCTTCAATGGGGCTAACCAATCTGGACTGGTTTGAAACCAAGAAGTCTCCTGTCTGTCCGAACTCTCTTCCGCTTTCCCCGCTCGGGGCTTCAAGGAGGCGGTGTACGCCAACCTGGACTGGTCTGAAACGGCACCTTTTCCTGTCTGTCCGAACTCTCTTCCGCCTTTCCCGCTCAGGGCTTCAAAGAGGCGGTGTATGCCAACCTGCACTGGTTGAACCTCCCCTATGCCGATCCTACCCCAGCCATAATTCCACACCTCTCCCTCCCCTCTCTCAGGGCTTCAAAGAGGCGGTGTATGCCAACCTGGACTGGTTTGAGGGCACGGGGCTCATTCTCAGCAGCGATGGCGCGTGGATCAGGTGGGGATGAGGTGGGATGAGGTGGGATGAGGTGGGATGAGGTGGGATCAGGTGAGGATCAGGTGGGGATCATGTGGGATCAGGTGGGGATCAGGTGGGGACTAGGTGGGGATCAGGTGGGGACTAGGTGGGGATCAGGTGAGGACTACGTGCCGGCACGGATCAGCTAAGCTGTTGTAAATTTCAAGTGGGGCCGCAGCGCAGAGTTAGGGACCAGCTGAGGTTCCTGTGACTGCTAGCCGTGCCTCCTCTATGACAGCGGAGCACATGCGGTTTCGTATGGGCCCCAATGAGGTGCCATGACTTTACGTGGCAGCAACTATGCTGTTTAGGTGAAATATGAGTGTAAAAGGGTGCCTCCTCTATGACAGCAGAGCACATGCGGTTTCGTGTGACTCGCACAGCAGACCACTCAAGGGCCGGCTTCTCTCTTTCTCGTTCTGCCTGCCTTGCTCCCCCTCTTGACCGCCACCCGTGCCTCATCTATGGCCGGGTGAGTCTCATCCTGCTTGATTTCTTGCCACCCAACCCCCTCGTTCCTCCGCCCTTCTTCCTTTCCTTCCCCCCTTCCCAGCGACCAGCACCCGTGCCTCATATACGGCATGCAGGGGCTCATCTGTCTGACTGTTGATACAGCCAAACACAGACTTAAGGACCTCCTTGTCTCCTCCTGTCCCCCTCCCTTCCCCCTCTCTCACTTCTTCCCCCTTCAACCCCCAGCGACCAGCACCCGTGCCTGATATACGGCATGCGGGGACTGATCTGTCTGACGGTGGCGATGAGCGGGCCGCTCAAGGATTTGCACTCGGGCACACACGGGGGCAGCTTCAACGAGCCACTCAACGACCTTGTCACTGTGCTCTCCAACCTCGTCGACTCCAACAACATGATTCTTATTCCAGGTGAATTTAACAACGTGATCCTCATCCCAGGTGAATTTAACAACGTGATCCTCATCCCAGGTGAATTTAACAACGTGATCCTCATCCCAGGTGAATTTAACAACATGATCCTCATCCCAGGTGAATCCAACAACATGATTCTTATCCCAGGTGAAATTAACAACCTGATCCTCATCCCAGGTGAATTTAACAACATGATCCTCATCCCAGGTGAATCCAACAACATGATTCTTATCCCAGGTGAGTTTAACAACGTGATCCTCATCCCAGGTGAATTTAACATCATGATCCTCATCCCAGGTGAATCCAACAGCATGATCCTCATCCTAGGTGAATCCAACAACATGATCCTCATCCCAGGTGAATTCATAAACATGATCATCATCTAAGGTCAAGCCAACACACAGTTTGGGTTCAGATGGAATGTTTTACCAAGTCTTTTGGTGTCAGGTGAATGTGATTCCAACAGTTTTGCATCCATGCAGAACCAAATTCTTAAGCGTTCAATGTCTTTCTTTATTGTTCTCTTTATTCAAAATCTTTGTATGCATGTTGGCAGGGTTCTACGACGATGTGAAGCCATTAGATGAGGAGGAGGAGGCGCTGTACCAGGGGCTGCACTTCCGAGTGGACGAGTACAAGGTGGGTGGGTGTGGTGTGGTGTGGTGTGGTGTGGTGTGGTGGAGTACAAGGTGGTTGGATGGGTGTGGCCAGCTGGGAGTGGGCAGCGCAATTCTCAGTGCTGAAATAAAAAAGGTGAAAATGTGGAAAAAAAAAAAGCAAGAAAAAATCAGGGAACGAAAAAGAAACAGCAAAAAGCGTCGGCCCCTCTATCCTCTCCTCTACCCCCCCCTTCCTCTCCCCCTCATCCCTCCACGGCAGGCACGCAACGGGCTGGCGGCAGTGACGGGGGGCACAGCACGGGAGGTGCTGCAGAGCTGCTGGCGCAGCCCGTCGCTGAGCGTCTTGGGCGTCTCCACCTCGCCCTCCTGCGCGCCCTCGTGGTCCTCCCTCCCCAAAGCTGCTTCCGCTAGGGTAGGTTCCTCAACCCCCCCTCCCACTCCTCCCTTCCTTCAGCTGCCTCCGCCATGCACAAGTCAATCCCTGCCACCATAAACTTTCCGTTAGCCCTCTTCCCTCAATCCACCTGCTATATTTCTCGTTTGCTCAAGTAGAGACCACAACGACCAGAGACATTTGTTCCGTAACTCTATCCCGACGCTATTCCAAAAGGCAGTTTCTATGGATTTGCGGACAAGTGCAGTCCGTGCTTTCCCCCCTGCTCTTTTTTTTTTTTCGAAAGTCGACTTCTACCCTTCCTCCCCTGCTCTCTTCTTTTCGAGCCATATTTCGTCTTTCCTTCCTTGATTCTTCGTATTTGCCAAACACCATGGTATGTGACGCAACTACTCTTAGCACCAAACATAGAATGAATTCATTCACACTCCGTAAGGTAATATTTATGTAACACACCTATACTCAATGTCAAACATATTGGTAACCAGCATACATACACTATGTACTTAAGTATATGATTAAGTAACGCACTTAGTACCTTCTACCAGATGCAAAACACAAGGTTATGTAACGCACTCATCCAGGACATGGTTAACCAAAACTTTCTGTCATCTTCTTCCTTTTCTGTCATCTTTAGTTCGTCCCCTCTGCTCCTTCCTTCTTCATGCCCAGGTGCTTATCCGGCACATGCCAATCCAGAACCGATTCCTTGTTGAATGTTATTATTTCCCCTTCGCCACTTTAACTCCGCATTGTAGGTGGTGATCCGGCACGTGCCAAACCAGAATCCTGACCGCCTGGTGCATCGCTTCCGGGCGCATGTGGCTCATGAGTTTGCCAAGCTGCGGTCTGCTGGCAACTCCGTGGCTGTCACTGTGGAGCACGTGGGCGACTGGTGAGTGCCACGTGAATGATGCACACGCACACAGACACACTGGTGACTGGACGTGGGCGACTGGCGAGTCACATGGGTGATTGGTGTGGTGAGTGCCACATGGGTGATTGGTGTGGTGAGTGCCACATGGGTGATTGGTGTGGTGAGTGCCACATGGGTGATTGGTGTGGTGAGTGCCATGTGGGTGATTGGTGTGGTGAGTGCCATTTGGGTGACTGGTAAGTGGTGGTGTACACACACACAGGCACATTCGTGGTTGGGACATGGGTGACTGGTGGTGTGAGTGGGCACACACACACATACACGCACGCATCCACACGTGTGCATACATATATGCATACATACATACATACATACGTACATACATACGTACATACGTACATACATACATACATACATACATACATACATACATACATACATACATACATACATACATACATACATACATACATACATACATACATACATACATACATACATACATACATACATACATACATACATACATACATACATACATACATACATACATCCATACATACATACATACATACATACATACATACATACATACATACATACATACATACATACATACATACATACATACATACATACATACATACATACATACATACATACATACATACATACATACATACATACATACATACATACATACATACATACATACATATACATACATACATACATACATACATACATACATACATACATACATACATACATACATACATCCATACATACATGCAAACTTACGTATGTACTACATACATGGTGGCTGTCATTGTTGCACATGGCCAATTGGTTAGCGGCATGTGGTGGAGACATACACACACACGTCCCCTCCACCCCTCCCCCCAAACACATACACACACGCTCTCTCCCCCGACACACACACATACACATACACATACATACACGTACGTACACTCACACACACACACACACACACAAACACACACACACACACACACACACATACACACACACTTCAATCCATGTATTTTGCAAGATTTGAGCGCCTCAACTCTGTTTGGTATGTTTATTGCAGGTGTGCATCCTGACTAAGCTGACGAATGCATCAATTTCTTTGTACGGATGCATTAGATGCCATTTTTGCTGGTCAACTAAATCAGTCCAATTTCAACATTATCACCAAGAATTATCCTTTGATTCTACGTAGTTTGCAAGATTTCGAGCGTCTTAACTTTTCCTGATACGCCCACTGCAGGTGCACTTACTGACCAAACTAACAAATGCAGGTGGTTGGCGGACATCCCCTGCTCCTTCTATCAGCTTGCAGAAAAGTGCACATATGCATGTGTGCACGTGTGCATCCTTCTAGATGTGTGCACGTGTGCATCCTTCTAGATCAACTGATGCCCATTTTCGTAGTGCACGTTCAAGTGCCCTTCATTCCATGTCCGCGCATCCTCCGTTGTTTGCACTCCCCTCTCCTCCAGGTGGTTAGCAGACCCCTCCTGCTCCTTCTACCAGCTCGCAGAGAAGTGCATTCAGAGCCACTGGGACATGCCGCCCATGTGAGTCTTAAACCCCTGCACTGCCACTGTTTCCGTCCGGTGGTATTCCTCTGCATACCTTTTCACAATTGTCAACCGGTAGTCTTTTGAGTCGACTCATCCGTCCGGTGGTATTCCTCTGCATACCTTTTCACAATTGTCAACCGGTAGTCTTTTGAGTCGACTCATCCGTCCGGTGGTATTCCTCTGCATACCTTTTCACAATTGTCAACCGGTAGTCTTTTGAGTCGACTCATCCGTCCGGTGGTATTCCTCTGCATACCTTTTCACAATTGTCAACCGGTAGTCTTTTGAGTCGACTCATCCGTCCGGTGGTATTCCTCTGCATACCTTTTCACAATTGTCAACCGGTAGTCTTTTGAGTCGACTCATCCGTCCGGTGGTATTCCTCTGCATACCTTTTCACAATTGTCAACCGGTAGTCTTTTGAGTCGACTCATCCGTCCGGTGGTATTCCTCTGCATACCTTTTCACAATTGTCAACCGGTAGTCTTTTGAGTCGACTCATCCGTCCGGTGGTATTCCTCTGCATACCTTTTCACAATTGTCAACCGGTAGTCTTTTGAGTCGACTCATCCGTCCGGTGGTATTCCTCTGCATACCTTTTCACAATTGTCAACCGGTAGTCTTTTGAGTCGACTCATCCGTCCGGTGGTATTCCTCTGCATACCTTTTCACAATTGTCAACCGGTAGTCTTTTGAGTCGACTCATCCGTGCGGTGGTATTCCTCTGCATACCTTTTCACAATTGTCAACCGGTAGTCTTTTGAGTCGACTCATCCGTCCGGTGGTATTCCTCTGCATACCTTTTCACAATTGTCAACCGGTAGTCTTTTGAGTCGACTCATCCGTCCGGTGGTATTCCTCTGCATACCTTTTCACAATTGTCAACCGGTAGTCACCAACCAAATAGGTGGTGTGCTTCGGGTGTGTGCTCCATGTCGCATCACAACAAGCCATGTCAGCATGTTTTTTGAGAGAGAGAAAAAGCCACATCCTCTCGAAAGGATTTGGGGGTGTGAGGAATGCGGCTAAAAAACAAACATCTATGCATCTCAGAACGTGAGGTATGACCCAATAGGGATTTCAATTCAGAATTTTGTAAATCAAGAGGCAGCGTCTCCCGTGTCTCAAAAGCTGTCAATGCATCCTGTTTTTCCACCCACCCACCCAACCTCATCCATCTCAGGAACATTGATGAGAGTCCAGTATGAGGGGCCTGAAAGGCGCTGCCCTACCCATCTTATCCCCTCCTTATCACCACCCCCCGCAGGTACATCAGGTAGTTCAGCACAATCCTGGTAGTGCTGTCTTCTTGATCAGCTGATCACCCCCTTCCTCCATGCCCACCCACCACAGGTACATCAGGTAGTTCAGCACAATCCTGGTAGTGCTGCCTTCTTGATTAGCTGATTACCCCCTTCCTCCATGCCCACCCCCCACAGGTACATCAGGGAGGGTGGCACAATGCCGGTGGTGCCTTTCTTGGAGGCAGCCTTGGGAGCGCCGGCCATCAAGATTCCCATCAGCCAGGCCACTGACGGCAGCGCGCTCCAGGTGGGCCTCAGGATGCTTCTCAGGTGGTTACAACAGACGGTCGTTTGCTCCAGGTGGATCAAAATGTTTTTTCAGGTGGTTGCTTGCGACAGATGGCAGTTTGCTTGCTTTAGGTGCGTGGCTACTCTCTTCAGGAATGAATTTTCTTCAGATGTGTGGTTTTGCCTTCCACCCGAATTAGACAGGGGTGTGATCTGGGTGGTAGGCAACCCTATCTTTCCTTCTTCCTCCTCTAAACCCTGAACCCCTATTTACACCCTCCGTAACTCTTTGACGTGTGGCAGAACGAACGGCTGGAATGGAGCCACCTCATCAAGGGCAAGGATGTGATCAGGGACTTCATCAAGGCTCTGGGGGATGGCAGCCGCAGCTGCTGATGTCAGAATCCGTTGCTGATGTCAGTGTTGGCTGCTCCTGATGTCAGCGTTGGGTGCTGCTGATGTCAGTGTTGGCTGCTGCTGATGTCAGCCTTGCCATGGCTGGCCTGGTGGAGCAGTTGTTATTGAGGAGCATGCATTAGCTGCAAAGGAGTGGGAGGGTGGTGTCTCTGGAGAGTCAGCACAGCAGCTGATGATAGGCCTTGCTGCACTGCGCATGGTCATTGGAAGATGCCAAGTACTGTACGGCAAAACCATTCTTCTAGCTGGCAACGGCCTTATTTTGTGCACCCAGTGGTTCGATATGGAGGCATGGAGAGATGGGGAGCACAGTGGTGAGGGAGCATGGAGAAACTGTTTGATTCCTTTATGTCTGGGGTATCTGGTTATAGAACCGTACCAACAAGTATTGGTAGCTGCTGAGGTAAGCAAGCACCCGCTCTGCTTGCGAGTCAATGTGTTGGTACGTATGTACCATAATTATGGAAGAATGTATATACATACATGTCCCATTTTTGTAGCATTAGCTTTCCATCGTTACACGCATTCTTGCGGTACAACCACATCAGAATTTAGAGAAATGCATGTTCTAGAATGTGTTGGGAATAATAAGTCTTAAGCGCCTCTGTCGTGTCGAAACTCAGGACACTAGCGAAGCAGTCCGAATCGAAGCATCGCGAGTCAACCCTCGGAGGTTAGGGTAACCGCCTGGAGGTTACGCGAAGGTCAAAGGTCAGCGACCTTTGACTTGACAAATACAGCGCGACAGCAAGGACACACAATTGACTCGACATTGAGCAGTTGCCCGAGTCGCACTGTATCGAATCGCAACAGTAAAACGGTTTAAACTTATCTATTCATATTCCTTGTACTCTTATATAAACCTTTGTATTTGCTTGTTTAATCAACTTACTTTGCCCTCACATACTAGCGCAAGGTGGTTCAAGGACTTTCATTCAAACGCTTCCGCTATTACAATCCTACTCAGACTTTAAGCTCTACAAAGATCCTAGGGCACTTCAGCCCAACATGGTATGAGAGCGGTTTGAGTTTAAAGTTATTTTCCTTATAACACTCAAATACAATAAGACATGTCTGCAAGGAAGGAGAGGAGCTCCTCCAACGGCTCTCCAGGCACTACTCCTACTCCACCTCCTGCCTCCGGCCTACAGACAGAGGAAGGAACTACCACGAGACCAGCAGCTGGGTCCACGGAAACTCCCGCAGGCTTCGATCCAAGCATGATGGAGAAGTTCTTCTCCTTCATGTCCTTCTACGAGCAGCACCAGCAAGGAGTGCCTGCGCAGTCAAACAACAGCAACAACAACAACGTGACTCCTATGAGCCTCGATGGCTCATCCTACGCACGCGGGATTCAACAACAACAACAACAGCCTACCTTTGCGCCGTACGAGCCCCAACGTGGCTCCGTCAGCTTCATGCCGCAACCGCAACCTGCACCGGGACAAGAAAGGGCATTGGATGCGTTACAAGTTCAATCGCAATTCGCGCATGTCCTAAAACTGCAAACGACAAAGCCTTTCGACGGCAAAGACTTCTTCACCTGGTCGTTCGAGTTCGAACTGATGATGGAAGGAGCACAGATTCTCGGCTTCTTCGACGGGTCCCTGCCATATCCAACAAACGGGACGCAATATGAGAAGCAGCAGTACACCTATCAATCAATGATGGCGTACACGATACTGCTAAGAAACATTACCCCAACCCAGCAGCAGAACATCAGGACTTACCGAGGCTACGGCAACTCCGCGGAGCTCGCGTACAACCACCTGAAGAACCGTATCAAGCAACAGACAGCGTAAATCAAAGCAGGTTAATGGTGCAGCTGACAACGATTGAAATGAAACCAGGCGAGAAATGCATGGCTTATATCACCCGCTGCCGCGAACTGCGCGACAAGCTTCTTCGATGCGACGGGTCGATTTCAGAAGACGCCTTTGTCACGGTGGTCATCGGCGGTCTCGGCCCCCACTGGCGCTCCACTCGCGCCATATTATGAGCACACGGGAGGATCTCCGAAGCAGCACAATGCGCCGAAATTCATGCTGAGCACCAGGACATGGACCTGCAAGAAGAAAGACACAAGAAGAAAGCATTAGCACCGGAGTTTGCGTTTCACACTCAGCGACGATACAACGGCAACAACAATCGACAACAGCAACAAGTAAAGACAGTACCTCGGTTCTGCCACATCTGCAAGACTTCGGGCCATCCTCGCACGCATTGCCCGTCTCGTCAGACAACACCACAGCGACAACTCCGGCCTTCAAGCTCCCACTACTCACCGGAAGAAGAGCTCGACAACAGGACGCCTCGCCGCGAGTCACTCCAGCCGAATCCAACGTACGCCGCCATCGCTCAAAGCGAACCGTCCGGGCAAGACACCTGATTCTTGGATAGCTGCTGCGGACAACACATGTGCTCCTCCGGACGCTTCGTACAACGCGAACATCGACTCCAGCGAGAAGTAGTCATCACGGTCGCCAACAACCAGAACCTGCGCACACGACGACAAGGAGTAGTTCAACTTCAATCAAGAGAGACAAACTTCATACTGCACATGCCAAAGGTACTCATCGCAGAAGGACTCGGTTATAACTTACTGAGTGTTAGCCAGCTGATGGCGAAAGGGATTCACTTGGAAGCCGACAGCACCACCCAGGAGTTGAAGTTATACCACGGGAAGGGCGGCCTCTACATCGAAAGAGCAGTGTTGAAGAACAACGTCTTCGTTCTTGATTTCGTCCCCGACCTGGGCACTGCAGACAGCGACGCCATCGTCAACTTCACCGACTGGACACATCCTCCGGACCTCGATCCCGACTTCAGCCCGGGAGGTTTCTGGTACTCGCACACCATCCCTGAAGCAGAACGAACACGAGCATTAGCAACGATTCAACAAACGGCAGCAGCAGAGACAACAAAGACAACATCAGCAGCAGCAGAGACAACAACGACAGCAGGAGAAACAACATCGGCAGCAGCAGAAACAACATTGGCAGCAGCAGGAACAACGACACCAGTCATCGTCGACGAAGCACCACCAACACCCGCACAGCAGCTGACCCCGACTCAACGAGAATTCCACCGAAGCGCCAAATTCGTCGCCAGCTTCTACTCCAACTCAGACGCATATCGACGCTCACCCGGACATCGCGCCCCTGAAGACATCTGGCACGCACGCACAGGACATCCAAGCAATACGGTGTTAAATAACACAATACGAGCAGGAGTCCTAGACAAGGACTCACTACTACTACCTGACGGCAGAGAACTTCAACGTGCACGAGGGACTTGCCTCATCTGCCCCGAAGCCGACTTACCACATCGACCGTTTTCTTCTCACCACAACCCGAGCGCACCTGCATACGCACCACTCGAAAAAGTATACAGCGACATCCTCTTCAATCGAGAACCAGGACAAGTCACCTACAATTACACGATCACCTTCATCGACGCCACCACTCGATACGTCTGGAATCGAAACCTACCCAGCCGCGACATGGCACTCGCAGCGTTCGCCGCCTGGCTACCGATAGCAGAGAGGGAATCAGGAACACAGCTGAAAAGCTTCCAGTCAGACGGATGTGGCGAATACACCTCTCAGCGCTTCAAGCAGTACCTGGCGGAAAGGGGAATCAAGCAACTCCTCTCCCTTCCCTACGCCCATCAGCAGCAAGGTCTGGCAGAAAGAATGAACAGGACTCTGCAGAATAGCATGCGCAAGCTGCTACGTGGCATGCGGCTACCCAACCACCAGTGGCCAGCAGCAATGGACCATGCTGTCATGCTGCACAACTTGTTGTCGTCGTCGTCACTCCCGAACAACGCATCACCGCATCTGCTGTGGACAGGAAAATAGGGAAGCACAAAAATGTTACGAGTTTTTGGGTGCATGGTACAGTACCGACCCCCAGAAGCACGAGCGGGAAGATTTTCGCAACGGGCACAGTGGGGACTACACCTCGGCATCGAGAAAAATTACAACACGTGGAAAATCTTCGATGTCCACTCAAAGGAAACAGTAGCAGCACGTGATGTGATCTTCTACGAGCGACTCACCCTTCAAACGTACCTCGCCAACTTGCACGAGAATCAGGACCCCACAGGTGGCTTTCGTGGTGACCGAGCCTTCGCCTCAGCAGCGGACGAAGCAGACTGGGATGAACAGAACGTAGCCAACGCATCGGAAGAAGCCGGACCTCTCCCGTTCTGCTCCGTCGACGTGCCCATGGACGAAGAAAATCCTCGCGACAGTGTCAACGCCGAATGTGAAAACAAAGAACGAGAATGAAATGACTATGAACGAAGTGAGTACAAATAGGAAACCCTAATTGGGTTGTACCCCTTATGGGATACCCCACTATAGCCTACAGAAACAAGTAAGCTATAAGTTCTGACACACCCCCATAGGCAAAGTGGGGGAGAACAAGGGGTCACAAGACCAGTCAAGCAAAGCAAAGCAAAGCTCAGGGTGGATCACAAAGTCACCACGCATTCCGAGCACAAGTTCAAAGGCCACAAGGCCAGTTCACATGCAAGATCATATATAGAGATATACAAGAGCAAGAGTATATATATGCGAAAGTACAAGCAAGGTCAAGAGGAGAGCAAGTGAGGCAAGACAGGCACAAGACCCAACTGCGTGCAGCAACGCTGATGATCACAAGGCGCAAGTGCCTTGGTGAAGACATCAGCAGTGTTGGCCTCAGAGGCCACGTACGCAAGTCGCAGCTGTCCACGCTGCTGTAGCTCACGAGCAAGAAAGTAGCGAAGAGCAATGTGCTTCGTTCTGTGCTCCAGTCGCTGCTCTCGACACAAGGCCAGCATGGCCTTGTTGTCTACGTACAGGACTGGAGGAGAACGAGGCTGCTCTCCAAGGTCGGTCAGCAGGTAGGTGAGCCAGCGTAACTCCTGTGCAGCCATAGCCCCAGCGTAAATCTCAGCCTCACAACTGGAGCCGAGAACAGAAGACGAGC